AAGAAGTAATGGTAGTTTTGGTGATCAAGAAAATTCTTAGAGAAGAATATTCGTGACAAGGAAAGAAAAGAAAAACGAGCGGATAAGAAATTCAGTGCCTCAACTTGTCCAAAATTTCCACAAACACAGAAACGTACATGTGACTTTATCATATAAACATACAAGAGTTTCACTAGAAGAAACGAGATATGATTGAATCTGAAACTGGAGCATCACTTCATACTCTACAATCAACGTCTCTCTTATTCTATTCAATTGCAATCAATTTGCATCTCTTACAAGATGCGTATTTGCCCTACTTACTGTCACGTGGCTCAAATATCATACTTTCCGTGTATTGTCCACAAAATAGGGTGTTGAGGGCAAGTGAGGCGCTGCGAAGTGGAGTGAGAGCAAGAAGACTCTCAAGTGTCATTAAAGGCTATTAGGAGAAATCAACAAAGTTGAGCTCACTGCATGGGGGGGTTTATAATGGAGTAAATTGACTGCATGTGAATTGAATTTATAGCAAGTTTACGTGTGTATACGAGGTAATTTCAGTCATATGCATAATAGCGTGCTCACAGTCGCTATGTGAGGAAGCATTAGCACTTCAAATTTGTGCATAGAGAATTCACTGCATTCTCCATCACCTACAATTTTATGATTTGGATCTATTCTCAGCTAAAATAGGTCACAGCGCGCCAGGCCACTTCAGGCGCCAAAATACACTGTGAGCTCTTCCGGAGTTACATAAGCCCAAGAGGAGAGCCTCCAAATGCACTCTCTCATGTGTGGGTGGGAAGCATAAGAAGTGCTATATAGTTTGAAAGTTGTGAAATTGCCAAGCTATTATTGGAAGAAGTGTAATGGCGCTGAACTTTTCTATACAAAGGGTCTCTCTACGCAACACAGTTTGTCTGCGTTCTACTGAGCCAAACTCGCAACCAGTGGAAAAAATCAATACGATTTTATTTCCATTCCGCGGAGGCGTGCATCGGAAAAATAGAACATGTGACACATGAGCTAATATCCTGTTTCCAAGAATTCAATGGAAAAACGAATGAATATGGGGATTTTCCCAGGGATAAAGTGGCCGTAATGGAGTGGATTTTTGCAATATTGCACTGGTTTCTATCGAAACGAGTATATTTTTTTTTTATTAATAATATGTAACATGGAAATGTCAACTTTTAGCAGCTTAAGTGTTACGATTGGTACGTATAAAAAAAACGATGAATTTCCACAATATTTGATGTCCTTTTATGTGGATATACTCGATATTTCCCATTATTCATATACACCAATTTCCAGTAAACACAAAATTCTAGGAAATCATAATTGAGTGTAAAGAAGCTTTTCAGTTTAATTCTGGTATCGCTGGGTTCAATTGTTAAATAACACTTCACATCGAGCTTTCAATAGTTTTGCTTAAGAGAGCAGAAGATTCACTCATATTGACTGGCATTCGTGACTACTAAAGGAATTAATTATGAAAATCCTCTTGTGCGAACTTAATTATTACGTGACACAAACACCCATCATGAACCCTCTCTCTCTCTCACACTCTCTGTGATAAGACGGAGCGCAAACCTCATCAGAAATGACAACGATGATGAGTGAAGCTCGCCATAACAAAATAATTAACTCTAACATATCACATCCCAGACAACGAGGTTATTGATATCAGCCGGGAGGTGAATCACCTCCTCCAGATCCAATTTCCACCCCATTTCAATATGCTCGGCAGAGGGTGGCAAAAGCCTCAGCGCGTTAAATGCTTCTATGCCTCCTTACTACGTCTCTATTTTTAGCTCATAGAACGACCAAACAAATAAACTGATGAAATTTTCGGAATTTCCTCCGCTCTGCGAATGCCAGCAGAAAAAGGATTACGATATAAAGGCGCCCATGCCTTTATGTACATTACACATATGTGGCCCAAGACATTTTCCTTCACTTCTCACACACGGCGCAAATTGGATTTAAAGCGAAGAGCTCGAAGGGAGGTGTCATTTGCTGCAAATACCTTCGACATTTAATCAACTGTGAGAACAACAAATTACATAATTAAATTGCATCTCTACGAACACACACAGTCAATAAATATTCATCTACACACAACATATGCGAAGATACAGCGTATAAGTTTGTTGTTTTCCAAGAGAAACGACCAGAGACTGTTCTCTCAATTAATTAATAAGTGAAAATTACTTCTTTATTGGTGATAAACAGATGAAAACCTCAATATTTCCACCATTATCTCTCTCATGTTTGTAACATGACAACGCAAAAGGAAGTGTTGATCGACATATTTGTTTTGCACATACAAGAAAGTAGAGAAAAAAATATATAAAATTGAGAAATGTAGGTTAATAATCAAGTTAAAATGGTCAACAATTCAAGTCTACTTAACACTATAATCTTTATTAAAGATTCACTCAATATTTACTGTCTCAATTTAACATCACAACACACAAACACAAGCACACACAATACGTGACATTGCGCGAACGGCTGAGACTTAAAATCTTCGTCACATTGCAGGAAATGGCGCATTAAAGTGCGTGAAAAAGTCAATAAAGAAATTACGCCAATATGTCAAGGTTTTACCATTAATATGTCGTGATTAAAATTTATAATTAAATTTTTGAATGCGTCTAAATGCTTGACAACGCTGGAGTGATTGTTAATATTTAATTAAGTTGTTCATATCAACCTGTTTGCACAAGATCATTGGCGAGATAATCCAGGATGTCTTATGTAGGTTGAATCAATTGGAGTGGGAACTAATACTGGACACAAAATGTAAGTTTGTAGCTGAAGTTTAACTCTTGAACTTGTTTATTGGCTTCAAACTTCAACCTAATTTTATCATCCACAGATGGAATGACATACACAATAGTAGCAGAAGGAAAGTGGTTTTGTGATTAGATGTTGTGCGTGTATTTTGATACATATTCAACGTGACAATTACGTCTCGTGCCATTGCAGATGAGCAACAACAACTCTAGATTCATGTTTTACCTTACATGCTACGAAAGCCCACAGAACACAGAACAAACATTGAGGTTTTCACGTGGCAATAATTGAGCCGATTGACCACATACTTTCACGGTTCAGTGAATTACTACATATATTTCCCACAAGCCACTCCTGAACACTATTTACCACATTGTCCATATGTTGCTCTGCTCTCTCTCTAACCAGAAAAAGCGCCTAATGGATAAGCGCATGTTAATAGATGAAAATGCCGTAAAATGATACTTTTATGAGTCTCCCCCAAAGTCCACGTAAAGGACGCGGAAAAAGCTGACAAGTGGGTGGCCGAAAGTGATTGAATTTCTTTCCAGTCCATCTCTTTTCCCACGTAACTTCCGCCCATCGATTGTGTGTGTGGCAGAGTCATATCGGCGGAACGATGCGTGTTTATATGGAAATGAATTATGAGGCAAGATATTGGGTGGCAGCCCAAACCACACATTCTATTTTTTATCCGCCCCAAGGGGAAGATAATGTAGTTAGAAGTGGTGAAACGAGATTTATTTATAGTCAAAAATGATGCCCTAAAATCTAATTATAGGGAGAAAATCATAAAATATTGTATGAAAACCTCAGTTCAAAGTTATCAGTTAGTTTTCATTAAGATTTCAGTTGATTTTCAGGGCGAGAAAATCACAATTAATATCTTGATTATAATCTCAATAATCGTTTAATTCAAATGTTGATCAAATAGAGACTTTTGAGAACTGTTGGAGAATTGTGGATGTGTCGAGCTTCAGTCTTTGTAGACTTCAGCCATATTATCTCCCCCTTGATTTGCCCATTACGTCAAAAGGTACTTTCTAGCGTTGACAGGAATTTTGTCGAAAGCACGCACGAAGTGATATTTTTCAATAATTAATTAAAGACTGTAATTCAATGCTGGGCATTGTTTTTCCCCAGTGTTTGATGCAAACTTTCCTTCACTACCAAATGACAAATGTATTTATTGATTTTTCTTCACTGCAAATAACTCTTCGGCAGTGCAATATTTTCTTCTTCTCATTTTTCCAGTCGCTAAATTGCATCTCTATATACAAGTTGTGCATTTACTAACATCACCTCATTGGCTCTGCAATGCATTTAGCGGAAAAGAAAACAATCATTTTGGAGCACACGAAAGAGAAGGATATCTGTAAGGGGGTCATCTCCATTTGCGAGGCAATTGAAAAGGAACACTCACACTTCAGCACTCTCCATTGCTCTTCGCGGGAAAACTTGAATTGCTGACTTGGTGGTGGTACACAAAGAAACCCAATGGAGTCTTGTGAGCAAGAGAGGGACAACTGTGGCAACACTTTATAGTTATGAACATATCATGTCTATTCACACTTTTCCTGCACTCACACATACACACTCCGAAAACCCCTCGAAAACAGCTGACTAGCTGCTAGAAAACATTCATTTGACCCCGCTCTCAGTCTGCTCTCTCGCTCTCTCGCAGAATTGATCCGTTCTCTCGATTTTCCCATCACTCCTCCTCACATTACATTTGATAATAATCCCAAAGGTGTGTTGCGCACTTTGTGTAGATTATTATTAATCCATTCCACATATGCATATAGAATACGTAGAATTCACTGTTTGGCAGATATTTCACGTGTAAACACCCGAAAATAAAATATCTTGTTCGGTCTTAATTGAAAATACATGAGAGAAAAGGGATCCAACATAAACATTTGATACACGAAAGTGACCAATTAACTTGTCCATTGCCCTCCCACGACGCCAGCCAAACTTACCTCAACTCAAAACACACTCTCTGTGCTATTGATTTTCTCCGAAACACCCAAAACACAGAATATTAAATATCCAATCTTCACCTACAGATGTGAACTTTGGAATTTAATATTCCAAACTTATACCTTAATATGAAAATATTTGCAATTAAAGATGTCTCATTAGGTTATTGATTGTAGTCAAAATAGGAGTTTCCAAAAATGGAATAATCATGATCTTTCATCTTCATATTACTGAAAATTTCACTTTTTTAAATGATTTTTTTTGCGTCTATCACTGCAAAAGACAGAGTGACTCATACCCTTTACACACTTCTCAATTAATCCTTTAACACTGTGCATTTAAATGTCGTGGCTTCAGCTGTTTAAATATCACAACTTTCACTGTTGTTTTTTTCTTCATTAAACCTCACCATTTTTTTTAAATCTATTGTTATCGTCTCAGAGTCGAAGACAGCTGAGGTGTGCTTGAGACACAGAAGAAAAAATCTAGGATTGCGAGCCCACTGTCAGTGATTGGCGGATTAATGTTATTTCTGTCCATATCATTCAAAGTTCTCGTTCAATTGCCAAAAGCAGCACAAATTTTGAAAGGTCATTTTACATCCTACAATTCCCTAGAACATGCAAACATTGCTAAACGGTCACCAGATGATGGTAATGGCCGGTTTATTACAGAATATATTCATATTCGCGTTTTTTTTAGAGATTTGCAAGAGTAATTGCGCTTTAGAAAGAGCCAAAGTTAGCCTACAACTGCCTAGTACATAACACTTGCATCAGATCACGTTTTCACTTGCCTCGCGATAGGTTTTTTTGTCTTATTCATACAAACAAATATTTCTTCATTTTTACAGATTTTTTTTTTCTTTTTGCAAATACAGACGCAACACAAATCACCGTTAACCCAATCTTGTGCGAATCACTTCTTTCACTGTCTTGTTTGCAGAATTAATGGGAGATCCTCAACCCAGATCCATGATTGGGCAAGATTAGTGTTACCAAGGAATAAAACACCACAGATTTTATCACCGTCATAAATCACTATACATTTATTGGCTAGGTTTGCCACCGCGGCGCTCTCTCTTCGCCGCGGCGGCACAATTGATCTAGTAAGGGCCACCTTGGGGGCCAGCCGGGGGTCCGTATTGCTGCGCCGGTCGTGCGAACGACGCGGCGGAAGTCTGGGGGAGACTTGGCAGCGAGGGTGCTGGCAAAGAGGGCGCCGGCAGTGAGGGTGCTGGCAGAGAAGGCGCCGGATGACTTGGCGCCGGGCCTGCAACGGCATCTCGTTGAGTCTTGTAGCGAATGAAGTAGACCTCGGGCTTCGAGGGTGGCACAGGGGCGGAAGTTGGCACAACGATGTCCTCAGGGGCATCGGGACGCTTCACCAACACGTAAACAATGGTCTTTTCGCTATTCTGTGCTGCCGCGGCAATTTGGGCCGGCGAGTACGACGGCGGAGATGGAGCCTGAACACAAAAACAACACACCAATCAATACACAGTCGCGTCCAATATGTCTGATCAACGGTTACCTTAATGAAAATGATCTTGTAGTGCTTCTGGGCGACACCACCGCCGCCAATGGCGTGCTGGTGGAAGTGCTCCTCGGGCTCTGGTGGCGGCACGTGAACGTAGATGTGCTTCTGCACGAGAGTCGTGGCTCCGCCGAAGCCACCGCCGTGCGCAGCTCCACCAAATCCACCACCGCCGTGAGAGGCTCCCCCAAAGCCACCACCGTGAGAGGCTCCACCGAAGCCATGACCGCCTGTGGAAGCGCCCAGGAAGGCGTTGCCCGCTGAGGCTCCAAAGCCACCAAGACCACCACCGCCGCCGAGGGCGCTGCCAGCGAATCCTGCCGAGGATCCCGCGGACCCGAAGGAACCACCAGAGGGCGCGTTGTAGGCATATCCAGCCTCAGGGCGCGCCGCCGCGAGCGCTGCCAGGCAAGCCACTAGTGCACACTTTATCAACATGACGGATACTGTGGTCCGAGGCGACACTGAATGGTGCTTTTATGCTGTGGCGCCCCCACCAAAAATCGTGGTGTAAACATCACGGGGGGCGCCCTCAAGAGCGTGTCTCAAAAGGCGGGTGTGTGAAGATGGGTAAAAAAAGTTTCACCGACGCGACCAAGGAGGATTTATGTTTTTCTCTCAAATGGAGAGCTTTCCTCTGAGTTCAACCAGTAAACCGGGTTTAGTGTTCTGAGCCATTGAAACTATTGAAATATATTCTTTTGAATTTCTACAACTTCTGCCAAGGAAGCAAAGCACAAAACACAAAATCGTCATAATTTAGGAAATTGTAACAAATTTGAGACTCAATTAGGGCTCTCTTAAGGCCATAAAATGCACTTTGTCAAATCTAAATCTTGTTTTTGTAATTCATCAGCCAATTTTGGACTTTTTTTTTATTACTTTCAATGATTTTCTTTGGCTTGAGAGGATTTAATTCATGATATCTTTCGAGTTTTCAGTGTGTTTTCTTCAGTCCTCAAGGAGACACCCTTTTGACTGCAAGTTCAAAGGTTAAATTATCCATTAATACAAAGTCTCAAATGAGAAGCCACGATAAAAGCTGCTTTATTATCATCGGCAGTCACTGTATCGCATTCAACGATCCCTCAAATTGCAAAACACTGCCTTTATGATATGAGTCTGCTATCAATCCACTTCCTCTCATTATTATTCAAACTATCTTCCACAATTCATCATGAACACGATTTTTGGGAGATAATTCCCCCATGTGGGTCGCACATTAGACTCTCTATTGACGCAACTGGACCTTTGGGCGTCCACTTTCAGCGACGAGGTCGCGAGGTCATGCGTCGCGCGCTTTCCGCCTCACGTCCGACCTTTTTGGGCGGTTTGCGAGAAGGTGACAAAAAGAGAAATTGCATCTAATGCGTGTGGACCATCTGCTTGCCAAGAGCAAACATCTGGCTGATGAAAGATGAGGGAAAAAAGGCGGTAAAGTGGTCAGAAGTGTTTTGAATATGATAAAAAATACGTGTCAATTGGGAGAAACTTTCGCTGATGCAAATTGAGTGCAAAGTGTTGGGAGTAATAGCCTTCACGCACTTGCTGCTTAATCTCAGTCTTTGCCATAAATCGGATTACCAGGCACTTTAGTCAGCCTTAAGCCTGAGGCACTGGAAAAGCTGACTTAGCCAAAATTTCATACTCAATTTGCTGGTGTTCGCAGATGAATTGGATTTAATTCTAATGTTTAAACCCAAGAAAATTAACAGATATTGGGTTTAAATTTTAAAATGATAAGTCGATTTGGTGATCATTTGGTTTTTCTTTAAATTATGCATTTTTATCGAATTTTCAGCTCAATCACCGCGAGTTTCTCACATTTCAAGTTGGCCCACAAAATTCAACTTTGCTCTAAGCTAAGCAAAGCGGATGTTTATCAGTCTGAATGATAATATTCCTGACAGAACCTAATGTTATTAGACAGCGAAAATTTACGATAACTCTAATAGAAAATCTTCCTGAGAGCTGACAAGTCACTCTTATGTGACGTCCTGTATTACACAACCCATCTGAAGAAGGATCTCTTTTGATTCTCCACCACAAAGACGCTTCCGCGAATCCTCGTCATTTATGTTTATCTAAGAAGAAGCATCTTTGGCACAAAATCTCCCACCCAGAATTTGAGTTTTTTTTATGTGAAAAAGCACCAAAAGCACATTTCAAGATGAAAAGTACCACTTCTGTTGCAGTGTGAGTGAGCGTTTGATGCCACAAAAGATGTGGTATTCGGCTGGGAGTGAAGCCAAAAGCGTCATACATTTTTAGACTTTCGCTCGCAAGGCGGGAAACTTATTTTCCTCCTAAGAGAAGAGAAAGAGAGAGATGTTTTTGTTTTTAAACCTTTCCGCGCGCGCACACACCAAACAACACCGCCAGCGCATTCGTGTGAGAACCGACCATTTTATTGGGAAATCTCTCTTCCTTCAATCATTAAACGGATTACATAAAAAAAAAATTGTTCACGAACACAACAACAAACTGAGCAAACAATTGAATTGCATAACAACAGAAAAGTACTGAATTCAAAGTAGGTGTATAATTGTCATTCTTCTCTTTGATTCCTCAACGTTGCTCACCGCGCGTGTTTCTGTTTTTCTCTGTTTGCCTCTGACTTGGGGCAGAAAATTCGCTCTTCCTTCCCCCTTTTCTCGCTATAAACGCCACAAATGTATACATAAATTCATGCTATTTCCCAGCATCACGAGACATGTTACATGTCAGAATATATCCAAATCATCATAGAATTCTTGACACATTTCTCGCAAATCTCCGTGTTGTGCAATCAAGAATTATCTCAACATGTATTCTTTCAATTGCCAAAAAACTGTTTCATGTGAATTGGGCAAATTCTCAAAATGTTATTTGCATCCCACCTGCAAAAGGGTCATTCTCGAGTGAATCTGGAGCAGAATATTGCATAGATTCGCTAGGAATCTATGAATTGTTCATCTTGTTGCCAGATGCACGTAATCCCAAAGCAAGCAAATTGCACCAGCTTTGATAACCTAAATACATTTTATATGTTTCCATGGTTTCTACTAAGGACTATTAATGCCACAAATAGATGTGTTTTAACAAATAACATTCCCTCTATTTGATGAATGCAAATGAAATTTGCAGCAACATTTGCCACATTCAATGTTGTGTGAATTTAACAGAGACTGAGAAAGATTATACGATAAACTATGTTAACAAAATTCCTTTTTTTTCCTTCCAGTAATTGTCACTTATTCTTTGCTGATGTGTCTTTCTTTCAAGTTCGCGGAAGAGCTTTCACTTCTTTGTTGAAAAACCCCTAACATCAGTGGGTGTAAAATCAGTGTTTATTAGTAACTCTGTTATTATTTTAATTGCAATTGCAATTGAATTTACCGTGACACTGGTTTCTATTCACTGAATAAATGCTTTACAAAATGTTTCTCAAACAATTTAATATCCTATAGGATAGTAAAAGGAAAAGAAATTTTAACTCAAAGATATAGAATTTTTTCGAGAATATCCCTTCATGGAAACATACTGGAAAAGACTTCTTGCCCACAATTAAATCATGAATCTTCTAAACTTGCCTCTTCTTCTATCTAAATAAACCATGATTTAATATTTCTGGTCCTATGAAGTGTTATAGAAAAAGCACAAAAAATTGCTTCACATTAACATAAAAAAACGAAATATTCTTTGTAAATTCATTGTTGAAAGACAATTAAAAGACCATAATTGATAGTGATAAAAAAAAATCCAGAAGAACCAGAAGATTATGATCAGCTTAAAGCACTTCCGTCTTATTGTATGTTCAGAAAATCCTTGGAAAAGTATCTCAAACTCAACGCGTCTCTGATTGTTAAACAATCATCAGTCATTTCAGATCATTTCAACAATAAGAAATGAAAGAAGTGATAATTGATTTGTTGCCATTCTTCGCGACATTGTGCCTTAATATTGCACAATTTGTGTGTCAATTTAGAGAGTCAATTTGATGTTATTCGAAATGTCGATGAAAATAACACGAAAATAGAGTCAATTGGATGGAAAATTGTATGTAAATTCCATACTGGCGAAGAGCCCTCAAGCTGAGCAGCGCTCTTGGGGGAGAAGAAGCAGCAAAAATCTCGCTTTTATCTTATTTCTCTGATACGACAGGACCATGCATTGTTTACATCTTCGCTGTGACATCGCGCTCTCTCGCTCTCGCATGATCTTTGTGAATTTATTATTAGCCATACAAACTTCGAGACACACGCTTTGTTAGTGTTTACGTTGGAAATGCACTCTCTCTCTCTCGTGACGAGAGTGGCTGTATTTTTGTGCGCCAGCGATAAGACGCGCGTCTTATCGGGGTTTTTATTTATAACATTAAAATCCACAACGATTTTATCTTATCACTGCGATGCTCTCTCTCTTGTTTTTCTACGCTTTCTCTCACGCGTAGATCTCTGTGTGTGGGTGGCTGTGTTTTTCTCCTTGTGGGAAAAGTGGATGTCAAAACTGTGCCGTTCTGCACACATCCCTGTGCTCTTCTCTCGGTCAAAAAGGGAAAAAAAGGAGTCACAAACGCGCTCTCACTCTCACCCGTGACACGCGTGAATTGCGCCATTTCTCTCGCACTCACTGTACTTTCTGTGTGCTCCAATTTCTTCGTCTCCATCGCAGTGTGTTGATATTTGCGTTCTCTCAACGCAAATGTACATGAGTAGAAAATTTTCTGCGCACAATTTTTTTTACTTCTTTTCCCAGCAGAACTATCAGAAAACTTTCTAGGTTACAAGGGGAATAGGCAATATGTGGATTAGGGAAACCGCAATCACACAATATTGACCTGTTCTTAGCAACCCCACAAATTCCCTCCGGAGATCATTGGCAGAGTGAGAAGGGTTCAGAGCTAATGGAATTGAAGTATGAAAAATGAGACTCACCTTCATTGACGAGAGTTGAAAAGTCTTGAAATCAACTGGTGAAATGCTGAGGAATATTTGTCGTGGCTTGAGCAATTGCTGGCCAACACACTGATAGAATTGCAGGGTGTCTCTGGCACAAAACGTCTCTCTCTCTGTGTCTGCCTCTGGACAAGATTGAGCCACACACAAACTGGATTTGACGTCAATGTTGGGAGACTTCGTGGCCCAAAACAGAGAGTCCAACACACTCGCACACGGAAAATCCCCCCAGGAAAGTCTCTCCTACAATTCCACTGGCAACGTTTAACACTCTAGGCTCCCCAGGTCGTCACCTAGGCGCACTCGCCAGTGGGAACCTGGCACAAGAGTGAAAATTGCACCACGAACTTCAATGGACACACATTCGCTGATGGCTTCCCAGGCTGGAACTTCGATTGCGCGTCACCTGATGCAGATGTATGGAATCCCATTCGAAAATGCACGCGAATCGGCGAGGAGCAATTTCGATGGAAAAGACACACAACAATTTGGATGTTTTCCACAGAGAAATTTCTTCTCTTCTTCTCAGCCCCAAATGTCGACTTTGATGTGAAACTCGCAAAGGAACACAACAAAATAAGCCAGAAAAATATGTATGAGTGCGACACACTTCTCAATTTGTTGCTCATGCTCTCATCTCGCTCATTCGCGTACTGACTTAGCCGCGCCACGAGCGAGATGCACGCAGACACTGTATTTTCCTCAACATCAAGTGCCCATCTCGCTCTGTTGCCATTGGCAGCGCTGCAAGAGGGAAGGAAATAGGTAGTTGTCGTCGGATTCATCAGCAAATGCATTAAGTGTTGAGCACATTTTGAATGTGAGTCAACTCAAAAAAACTACTTTTATGTCAAAATAGTAGATCCGAAAGCTTATAAAAAGAATCCTTTTCAATCTTTCTCAAAAGAAATATTTGCCAGTGAAATTTTCAGTTCCAAAGTTTATGTATTTCCATTTGAATACTGTAATTAATTGTACGAATAATTAATTATTTGAATTAATTGTACAAACTATGCAAACAAAAGTATTGCGAATTCTTATTCTACAACTGATTGACTTATTTGTTTCAAAGTTGTTAATGCGCTTGCTGATGAACCCAACATTTTCCTCAGCCGCCTCTTTCACTCTAATTGCCTGTCTATTGGCGTTTCACTCGTTCTGACGTCTGCACGACGAAGTACCGTGGACTCTTTCGCACAAATAGATATTATAATACGAGGTTTGGATTTGCACAAACGAAAACAATTGCCAAATAAATTATTAAACATATTTATTTATTCAATATAGTATTTTTACATGAAAATAATACGAAAACTCTTTATCTCTTATTATCATTCCTGTGATATAGAATCATTATATCCCATCTGCTCATGACTAAAATTACCTCGGCGCATACAATTTCTCAATTAATTTCTTTTCACAATTCATCATCACTAAATTAAATGATTGTTTCTTTCTTCTTCATATATTCATCAAGAGTATAGTTTTAGTTTTTAAAAGGGTTAAATTGTGTGGTAATATTTTCACTTTTTCTCCATCGCAAATTATTGTTGATGGTGCTTACTAAACATAAAATTCTCTCACATTATTCCTATAATGTCTTAACACTTTTATGCTTATCGTGTTTTTATCTTTTCTTTCCCACTGAAAATCAATTAGGTCTCTAGTTATAAGTTCTATTTATGGTAATTCTATACATAAAATATCTCTACTTCATGCCCAAAATCAATCATGTACAATGATCCTTAATTTCACGCTGTGTTTTTTTTCTTTCTTTATATTTATAAGTGGTTTTTATAGCAGAAGAGCGTTATATTTACACCACAAGATATTTTTTTTTTCAGTTCAGTACCAGCTTAACAGTTTAACTCCTGTAATAACGTTATTTATCAGTAAAACACCCAAGTGAACTTCCTTCTTCCCCGCCCTTCAAAAAATCATCATTTATATCGACTGAATAAGCTTCACAATAATTAGGACAGATTATAATGCTTCACTTTCAACTTCAGCCAATAAAATATTGTACTGTCAATAGAAAAATAAATCAAAAGACTTGCTAAGAGTAATTATTGCAAAATATATAAGAAAAAAATATGGCAAACAATGTAGATTTTTTTTTTCAACAAATTCAGAGAAAAGCCTCCCCGTATTTCCAAGAATCGTACGCGTGTTTTCAACATTATAAAGTACTCTCTCTCTTTCTCTCTCGTATCTGGCTTTGCCACAATCATATCGTGATCCTGTGAAGCGCACACAACACTGTGAAAATATATGTTGCAGCTTTTATTCTTATAGCATTTTAGAAAACTATATGTATGTATATATGTAGCATAAATTCTGTCAAACTACTCATTATATACAAGATTCTAATCATCATTATCATCATCATCGTATAAAGGCCTTGAAACATACACACTTTGATCTCTCTCATCGCTCTCCAACGCGCTCTCTTCAGGTCAATATATATATTGCTAAATAAAAATACAACTGCGTCTCTTCTCTATATCGCCTAATCAAAGGGATTAAATGGAAAGATTAAACCAAAACTTAAATCCTACACTTCATATACTTCTCGCCTGTACACCATTGTCGTGTGTCTCCTGCTGATCACTTGATGATCATGACCTTGCGCATCTCCGTCGTGCCGTCCGGATGCTGAATGCGTAGCATCGCCTCCTGTCCTCACTCTATTGCCTGGCCCGGTTCGTGTGACATTATCTCGTACTTGATGATCTGCGGCGCGTTGCCCTGCAGCACTTGCACCTGCACGGGCTGCGAGTTGATCACCAGCTCCCTGGTCATGGCCTGCTGTGTCTGCGCCTGGCTCTGCTGTGCATTCTGCTGAGCCTGCTGCTGGGCAGATAATGTATTGTCTTGATTCTCTTGGCCATTCTGACTCTGACTCTGACTCTGCCCAATTTCCAATTTCATTTCATTTGTTCAAGGAGTGTTTGTTTGTTTGTGTGTTTGTCCCAAAGGTCCGAGAGTGCCCATCAGACAAGGCAAATTTACACCCAAAGGTCCGCAGATGTGAATTATTACCACAGATCCATACAGGGATGGGGGAGAGAGAAAAAACAATAAGGTAAATAAAAAATAAGAATGTGAATAGATTAAAAAAAAATCATTTTCTGTTTGATAAAAATCAGTGAATTGAAGGAGCATTTAAAAAACGATTTAGACCGCTTTGAACTCGAAATTACTAAAGTCGAAGAGTGAAAACTCAGCGCAAATTTGAAGAAAATTCCAAGATTTTACAATTTTGAAGATTAGAATTTGCAAATCGAACGGTTCTGAATTATCAGTTCATTATTGCGCCTCTTCGTCGTTTTACAGTTAAATGCTCCTCGCTGTTGTCCTAGCAAGGTGAAATCCTCTGGAATAATGACGCCCCATCACCCATGGCATGACTATGAAGCGACCTGCGTCGCAGTCTGACCCTCCCGCGAGGTCAAATGAAAGTGAAATGGAAATTGACGGTGGACGCAAGCTACTGACCTGCTGCGAGATGTTGGGCTTCGTCTCGAGGTGCTGGCGCTGGTGCAGCATGAGGTGGTTCTTCTGGAAGAAGGCCTTGCCGCACTCGCACACGTGCGTGCGCAGCGTGCAGCTGCCGTTCGTGTGGCGCCTGTTGTGCTGCAGGAGGCCGTGCTTGGCCGCGAAGCCCTTGCCGCAACTGCTGCAGAAGTGTGTCTTGGGCTTCTGCTGCGGCGCCACTGTCTGCACCACCGTGGGCTGCGGCTGTGGGGCGCTCTGCACCGCCATAGCCTGACTCACCACCTGACCGGCCGACGTGATGATCTGCACGGGCACCGGTGTGGGTGACACCACGGCCGGATTGGCGGCCACGACGGTGGTTCCTGCGGAGGGAAGAAGAACAGTAGGAATTACACAACTGAAAGCGCAAACCCCATTAAAATGCCACGGACATCGCCTGGAAAGCGGTCACGTCGCATGCAAAATTGATACTCTATCACTCTGTCCATTTATTCAATATTTCATTCGAGAGTCGATTTGCATGAAAGCGAAGCGGATGCGAAGAATGCAGTGTTTGACATTCTGATAAAGTCTCTTCTCTTTCTCTCTCTTTCTCTCTTCCACAGAAGCGATTTCTCAACTGGGATTCATTAAATTACAATTTTCCAAGTACGCGGATCCCATTTCGCGCCCTCCGCGCAAGTTCAGCAAAATATTTTCAAAGGATAAGCATTTCAGCCGCATTTTCTAAACAAGAACACTTGAGCAAAATCTCTCGGAATGCTTTGTGTTTTGATATCATGAATTGATGTCTGATCACAATTCACTGGCAAAGTGTTCGGACATAAATTTGCTTGCTTTCACAACCTAAACCATAAGCGAATTATCTTCATATGCACAATATATTGTGCTATTCTGTAGAATTTCCAATAAATGTTCCATAAGACAAATTATTTTCCCCCTGAATGGTTCACAGAATCCAAATATGATAAAAGAGCAAAAATTTGAACACTAGTAAGAATAATTTTACATCAATCGAATGCATTTTGCGACTCCAGAATGCCTCGAAAGCAACTCAGAAGCAGGGAACCTCGTCAACTCACCCGGATTGATGTTGGTGTTGAGGAAATGTCCGGGAATGGCGGCCGTGAGGGCGCAAAGATCAGTCATGAGGCTCTTGTCGCCGGTGTGCAGTCGCAGATGAAGGGCGAGAGCCTCGCGGCTGTTGAAGGCACTGCCGCACTCGCGGCACGCGAACTGCGGACGCGACGCCTCCGCCGCGGGGGCGGATATCGTGGTCACCAGGCCGTTGTTGGCATTCGTCACCACCGTCACCGTCTGCTGCTGTGCCGACTGTGCCTGGTGGTGCTGGGCAGCCTGATGCGACTGTTGATGCTGCGACGTGTGCACCTGCACGTGCTGAGCATGCTGGTTGTTCGCCACGATAGTGTTCGTCGCCACGATGGTGTTTGCCGTCGCCGTGGACGCACTGGACTGACCGCCGTGCACTTGGCGGTTGTGCTGATTCAGCTCTGGCTTCGTACGGAATCCCTCACCGCAGATCGTGCACGGATACGGCTGATCACCGGTGTGCAACCGTGTGTGGGCGACCAGCGTGCGCTTCTGCAGGAACTCCTTGCCGCAGATAGGACAGGAGTGGGGCACTCGTCCGTGAATGCGACCGTGATTGACCAGTTGGAATTTGCGCGGAAACGTCGCTCCACAATCCTGACACACGAATGGATTCAGCGATCCGTGGAATCTGCAGAAGAATCACCACCATTAAAAATAAAGTTCCTAATTGGGGTGCGCGATCAAACTCACCGTGAGTGCATCACGAGGTGCTCCTTCTGGGCGAAGCTCTCGCCACAGTCGTCGCACACGTACGGCCGCTCTCCGGCGTGGAACTTGCTGTGCGTGACGAGATGGCGCTTGAGCGGGAAAGAGCGACCACACTCCTGGCACACAAACGGACGCTCTCTGCTGTGCACGCGTGAGTGCGTCAGCAAGTGGTGCTTCAGTGTGAAGCTCTTCTTGCACTCGTTGCACTGGTACGGCCGATCCGTGGAGTGCAGCAGAAGATGCGTGTTGAGACAGTGCTTGTGGGCGAAGCTCTTGCCACAGTGCACACACACGTGAGGCCGTTCACCCGTGTGCACGCGTGCATGGGTCGTGAGATGGTGCTTCAGGAGGAAGGACTTGCCGCACTCGTCGCAAGAATAGGGGCGCTCCTTCTTCGGCACTGTCTCTTCATGGCTGCTCGGCTGCTCGATGAACTGCAACAAGTGAGAAAGGAAATCTCGTTACAATTCAGTCTTTTGCTGAATGCTTAGTGTTAAAATATTTTTCACCTCCAATTTCGGCGAAATGCTCATCACGGGCTCCAATTTGCAATGTGTCGATGAGGCCGTTTGCGAGTCATCATTCTCCTCAAGTCCCTGAATCACTTTCTGCACCTGAACGGCAATGCCTGCAAAAAGATACAGAGAAATCCTTAATGCATACATACGCTTTTCATTTTGGATGGAAAATATCTGCACGTCATGTGCACGTTAGAGAGGAAATGTTAATGCGAGAGACACACGCGGGTTTTGCGACACAAAAGCCAAGACGGAGGGAGAACAGAAATAAAATAAAATCAAGTGTAACAGACCAGACCAACCTGCATGATGCCCATCTGTGGTGGTTGCGATTGTGGCATGCTGAGTTTGGGCAGCACTCATGGCCCTTTTGGCCAAAATCTCATTGCACTCCTCCGCTGTGAGCTGCAGCGGACCAATTGGACTCATGAAGTGCATCTTTCCGCCCGCCGTTGTCAAAACTGTTTGAGCCTTCGTGTCTATAATGCCATTGGCTGCGGCGAAAGGAGAGAAATTAGTTGGCAAACAAGTGCAGAACATCAAGATATTGCGAATATTCAGAATATTATCTGTGCCACAAGAGCTTGTCTAAAGAACAGGACGCAATTAATTACTTATAAACTCATAAAAATTACCCTGAAATGCTATTAAAGAACGGAGAATTATTTACCCTCCAAACAATTGGACATTAGATTCATTACGGGAAACTTCAGAAGCCCCGCCCTCTTAAACGCCACGCCCATTTGTAATTATATCACGTTCAGCTTTCATGGATGTGATTTCACTAGATAATAAGCTTCTGGTTTAGCTTTTCTATCTACAGATAAGGAGTTTAATGAAAAAAAAAAACCCACAATTGCAGCTATTTTCCAATCGTTCAAATACTTATCCGCCATTCTAACAATGCCAAAGAAGTAGATTTAACAGAAAATGTATAAAAGATAAAAATCCTCCAAAACTACTGTTTTATAAAGTGAATAAATATTGTCACTATGAAGCAAGTTATTACTCAATTTTTTTTTTGATTATAATGGAATCTAAAAGCGCTCTGACAAATCTATCAAGATAGGTAAAGCTTTGAAAGCCTCCCCGAGAGACTGTCGGCAAATGAGATTTCACTGGAGATTGTGCATTGTTGCAAGATAATAAAAGCGTCACATACTCAGCACATCATGCTTCTTGTGGTGTGTCACCGTTGTGGCTCCGCTGCCTGTCGTGATTACTCTGAAATTGGACAATGAATGACGGATTTAGCAATCCCATCAGCGCATTCACACTCTCTTCCTCTCTCTGTCTATCTGTGTGTCTAATGCAAAATGCCCACCTTTGAGCTGTTGTCTGCGGAAAGGGTTCATTCATAACAATCATCCTCCTCACGACGCCCTTGTTTGTGTGTGCTATCGCACCCTTTGCGTCCTTCTGCACAGTGATCCCGCCAGAGTCGGTCAACTGCAAGTATGGCATCTGTGAAATGTGCGCAAGAAGATCGCGCATGATAAAAGAGAAGAAGCAGTGTGTACAGTGAGAAGCTTTCAATTGTCACATGATTACACTCACTCATTCCATGTCTAAACATCCATTCACACCATAATCTAATCGCGTTTTTATTGTCTGCACTTCCTATATCTATTTTACCTCCTCAGAGGAAAGAGATTAAACTTGTTTACACAGCAGATCTCTCAGAAGAGATTATTATATTTCATTTCACAGTATTTACCTATTATCCTTGTACTTAATTATTCTCACAATTCTCATCGTGAATTTTTTATTTTGCTGTTTTGTATGCAAGGCAGCTGATTTCTCGTGAATTTCACGTAAAATTGTGGAATAAACAGTCAAAGCAAAAACATATTGCAGTAAATTTCCAAAAGAGCCTGCAATTTAATTCGAAGCAATATCATTTTGAGTCCTTTTAGACATATTCTAGTATCATTCCAATCCTTTTAAGAGTGATAAGTATAAATTTTTGATCTTTCCTGGAACCGAGACTATCTCAGTGCTGGTCTGAAAATCACTTTTCGAGAAAAAAGAAACGTGTAATTAAATCAGGACATCACACAATTCCCACGGCCTACATTTCTCAGCGCCATCAGAAGCTCACAGCTTCAATGAGTGGGTGGTTAGGGCGAATCGCCACACACACTCGAGAGACTCGCGAGAGGCTCGCTCTTCCTATACACGTCTAATACGAAAATTGTGCTTCTGCCACACACAGAGACGCAGCAAAAGGGGCGGATGGTGGTGGTTATATATATTTTGGACACACTTTTGCATTCATTCAATTCGTCACCACCACACCACAACTCCACACACTATCGCACGACGCCACCCGCGCCGAAAACCACCCCAAATGCCATCGCCACACACTGAAACGCACCGTCAGACGCGTCTTGCTCGCACATGGAGGCCGAGAAGCACACACTGCCTAAGCGCTTGGATTTTATCTCTGCGCCTTTTTGGCCTCCTCGCAAATGCTCAGGACTGTTTATGGTTTTCAGAGTTTTTGGCTTCGACACAGGAATGATCATAAACTAATGGCAGGTCAGAAACTAGCAAATATACTTCTTCTTCTGAGACACTTACTCCACATCCTTGATCTTTCTAGGGTTGACAAGTTAAACGTTAAAAATACTCTATAAAAATCCAATGAAGGACATTATTTAAATATATATTTCTCTGCAATTTTCCACACAATTCTCTGTGATTTCATCAAGCTATGATTAAATACTCAAGCACTAACAATTTAATGCGCTTCCATAAGATTTTTTTTTTGCATTTCAAAGCACTTTTTCCGCATTCAATATTCCGCATCACGTACAAGCTCAGGATTATAAGATTACATTCATTTCATGAATGCAGAAAATGACATGAAGAGTGGACAATCGATTAGTAAATTAATCTGGCTGACACCCAAACCAAGAAGAGAGAAGAGTGTGCTTTTGAATAGCACAAGCGCAATAAACTGGTAATTCATTCAATAAAGTTCCACTCTCTTCTAATACAATTTATAGAAGACCCATATATAAAACGAATTATTAAAGTTTGTGCCAAAGCTATTACAACGTCAGAATACATTGTGAATATGTTCTCTTTTGACAAAGTGAATGTAATGTAGAGATTTTGCCTTATGCTCATGAACATTTCTCTCTATAGTATTTTAATCATGAAGCAAAACTATTGAGCAATATTATTTCAAAAATTATTTTACTATTATTCTTCAACACATTGCCAAATGACTAATCCATTTCACGCTCAATTCTTCACATATATCCACCGATCGAAGTGGCTAAAATGTTTCGCTTTCAATGTCAAAACTCAACAACAAAGTGCCTCCAATTGCATTTGTATATATATGATATTGTTGTTTTTATTTTTCTACACCCATTCCCAGTGGCATTTGTATCTGCGAATATATGTATTTAACCACTGACTCCTCTCTCTCTCTCTCTCGCTTGGATAGCACGTGTCCTGTTTAGTGTATTCTGCGCGATTCCCATGTCACACCTCCCCCCACCCCCCGATTAATCGCACTGCTCTGTGTGTGAAATTCCCTCTACATTCCTAAGTATGCCGCCATGTTACATGTGTGGTGGATGGAACATGATGTACCATCAAATACATTATGTGTACACACGTAAACCATCCCAAAAGTAACTAACCACTCTCAATATGAATCCACAATTTTATTTTCCCACATGCGGAAAATTCTACTCCAGCATAAAAGTGTACACAATCTCTAGTCACACACTTTTCCTCTTGTCCATCATGCACTTCTTGGCCCATCAGCAAATATTCTTTTAGTGTGCCCTTCCACTCTCAAAGTTTAACGCATAAGAGAAGGTCAAAAATGAGTGTATTTTGAACAGATATTACTCTCTATTTTGTATTTGGCGTATATTTCCCTCCTCTTCCATTCGGTTTTCTTCAGATATCTCTTTCTCGCGCTACTTTTCACATTATGAATATATACCTACATATTTATTATAAATCCCAACGCAACGTGTTATATTCACACAATTAAATCAATGACACGTGGTCGGCGTGTTTCTGCGTAGAGAGGAAAAGGCAGCATAAGAGCCTAAAGAATGTATAGGTTTTGTCAAGCCATTGGGTTTCTCCTCGATTTTCTCCACTCTTATGCCACTTGGGAATATACCAAATAATGCCTCTTCACACCAACTTAACCCAATACGCATTACTTATGTGTGCCGCTCTCTTATGATTCCCCGCGCATATGATATGGATGTTGAGGAGGTGTATGGCAAAATCATTCTCTTCTGCTGGTATTCACACAATCATTTTTTTTCCTTCCCTTCTACAACACAACTTGCATTATTTCCCAAAGACTTGCCTACAAATCCCAATTCACTCTATTGGAAAACAGAGTTCCCCAAAACTATCAAAAAGAGCCTTCTCTCCACCACACTAAAAAGTGCTGCTGCCTACTGTTAAACACATTAAACTCCCTCTCTCTCTCGCTCGCCAATTTTTATTGCGCGCTTCTCAAACACGATTAATACTCTCTGAGTGCTCTTGTATGGGCACATACATATGTTGCATTAATAAAATTTAATGCATTCAATGAAATTCAATTATTCAGTACATTTCCACCATGCTTTCGTGCGCCTAATGCGCTTATTGCCCCTTACACCTTACATTTCCAACCAACACAGCGGGGCTTTCAGCATTCCCTTCTTCTCTGACCATGTTTTTCGCAATTCTTGTAACTTCAGCGCATTGTATTGGAGCACATTAAACAAATATTTGCGGTAAAATTCCATCTCTAATAAAATTTGTTATTAATTAAACTGGCCATATGAATATATGTGTTTTGTATAGGAAATTCCTTCTTGTTCAGTATATTTCTCTAACTGCTTTGTGGTGTGATCGCCATTTTGTTGGTGTGTTTGTGTATTCATTTCTTGTTTCCAAGTGCCCAACGCGCCATCTCACTTTTTCGCATGCCACAGGACAGAGAGAGAGAGAGAGAGAGAGAGAGAGATAGAATTGAATTTCAGACAAATTTTGGTTGCTTTAGTAATTCGAACTCCATTTTGCAATACTTTGGGAATTAATTTACCTTTTAAGCACTGTTTTCAGTTGGAAATATTTAAAATGACTGGAAATTGTTTGATTTTAAGTAAAAAAATTAAACTAAAGCATAAATTCATGTTTGACAAGAAAGTTAGATTTCTACCAGAAATGTGTGTGAAAGGTCACTTAACACATTTCACAGACAAAAATTTTGTTGGAAATTGAGCGCTACATTTGCCTAAAATCCTAGTAAACACAGTTTTGACTCACTCATTGTAATTACAAAATCTTGATAGTCAATTGCACATGTAAAAGCTAAGAGAAAACACGATTTTTCGCCGCAACCCAAGTGAATGATACTCACATATGTATCTACACAGCTCCACTCTGACTCTCTACATTATTACTGAGACTATTTTCAGCGTCGTTTCCCTTCGGCATCGTGTGTTCGGGCACAATTAAACTGTATGCGATGAAATTGAGAGAGGAAGCGACGAGAGAGGCTCTGCTCAACTGCTTCGTGTTGCCAACTAATAAAGGCACCGAATGCCATCCGAAATGTGTTCGTGAGCAGAGTCACTTCTCTCTCTCTCTCTGTCTCTCTCATGTTATTCTCATTAGTGGCACACACACACACAGAGTCAGCGCTACGTAGTAACTCAACTCGTGCAATTGGCTTTGTTATTTGTTCACTGCAATGTTGCCATATTGCAGGTATATTTTCGAGGTAGACGACTGTATTGAATTGCCATCGCTGCCATCGTTGCATACAGGATTTTCTGTAAAATTGCTTGTCAAATGATATACATTCGCTTCTACATATTCATCATGAGCAAGAGTGTATTGACAATTTTTGGGGCATGGAAAAATTCCCTCGCACATATATTGTCTATATGTGGATTTTATTTTTAACACACACTCTATTAGCGACTGCACTGTTGCCAGATTTATAATTTAGGCGTCTCTCTGTGTGTGGCGTCATCAATTTGGGTGTGGAGCCACCATTTTGTTATATGAGACAGACAATTTCCCATAAAAAAAATTATCATTTGCCACTGTCGCACTTTTTTCCCCCGATTAGGCGTAACCCATGGAAAAACAATTGAACACATTTATCCAAATACCCCAGACGGGATGTATTTATGTACATGTAGATACAATGGTTAGGTAACACAGAGGAAGGAATATTGGTTGGATGTGACAGAGAAGCATATTGCCTAGAAATTCTCAAACACCATTTCACCCCTCTCCTTTCCATGCTGTTGTGTTGGGAGTAATCTTTTCTCTGAGACCTCTTTTTGACTTTTCCTTATGTACCGCAGAGAATAATATATATATCGCAGCGCTTGTAACCATTGTTATCACACCGAGAGTCCCTTGTTTGTATGCTTGACCTATCTTGGTGGTTGCTAGCAATTTCTATGTGTCGTCATCCTGCCTCTTTCGGTGTGTTATTTTAAATAAAAGCCACCTCGCGCTCACTTCATACCACACGCATATTTGACACGCTCTCTCCTCCATCCAGTCTACTTATCAACTGTACCATCTCCTCCGCGATGCTTCCTAAATTCCGATCCCCGCATGTCCTTCGATTCCCTTGATAGTCGCATCCTTCCTGAAATTTCACCATCTTTTCCTGCAGTCTTCATCCCAATTTAAAGTCTTCTTGGCATCCAACATGCGGTGTGTTGACTCTTGCCATCATCGCAGGGTCTCTTTGGCAGTTTTGGCGCGCGTAATACACCAAATGCCACATTCTCTTGTTGCATATGGAGTGTGTTAGGAAAAATACATAGAGGCGTCGGTGTGTATTTTATATCAATTCGCCTCTCTCTCTTTTGCGTTCTCCTATCTCTGTGTTATATTTTCACCCACTAAACCAGCATCTCAATATCACACGACGTCGACGGCGACGCACACAGTCACCGCATTATGTTCCACGGGGGCTCAAAAGGGAAGGTTTGACGGAGGCGCGTCACTCCAATATGCCACTACAGTGCGTGTTGCTCTGCTTCCGCTTCTTGTTGCACATCTCCCATCATCATTGACAAATGGCCACGGAAGTCTGACCCTTATCGCGATGCCACCGCATCTTGTTTCGCAGGTAATACATGCTCTCCATGCATAAATATGATATGCCTTCAATGAGCCGTCCACATTTTTTCCGGCACATGGAAACTAATATATATATATATTATATGTTGTCAATGAGAAGTTGGTAAGATTTGTGTGCGTCTTTCTCTCATCTATATGTAAGTTCTCTCTCTATACTTTTTTCCACGCTCATATATTGCCATTTTCCCAACTTATAAGCATGTTTGGAATTAGCTTATAAACCAACATAACTCTTCAAAGAATACATAGATATTTTTACACAATATTGTGCACAGAGAGCCAATGAGTACTTTATTTGCAGTGTGTACTTTCAAATCTATACTAACATTATTCTTACCAGAGTGTTAACGAGAGTCACAATTTAATTGTGGAGCACCGCGCGCGAGGTGAGATTGACCGGAGGAGGGGAGAAGCGAAATACACATCGAAAATTGCAAATAAAAGTAAAAATTATGTAAACAAATTGAAAAGAGAGACGCTTCCATGCTTTGGTGTTAAGATATATTATGAGTATTCGCTCTGCATTTTACCGCCACTTCAGCAGAGCAACCTGTGTTGGCTCTTTTTCACAGATGTAAACATCAGGCAGCAATTGAGGTTAGATTACCCAGGATTCGAAGTTAACAACACTATTTAAAAACATTAAGGAATTCCGGCCTAAGCGCTAAACGGCTTATTCTTTCAAACAGACGTTTATGGGGTGTAAAATGTATAAATCTTTTGAGATACTCCAAACCTTGGATCGCATTTAAAATTATGCCCAAAAAACAATCACACATTCCAATCACACAAAATGTCAATGAATGTATATTTCTTAAATTCAAGGAACCCAGCGACATTAATCATCAACAGTAATGTTGATGCATAAATCGAATACTTAGCCTAGTAAAGGAAAGGAAAAAAAGTCGATTCTTACCGTTTCACTCACCGTATAGTTGATATTTGGTGAGATTTCAACAACTGATTCGGTCCTTGTGTTATCGGCGAAGCCCCAAGTGTATCCAAAAGTGGCCGGCGGATTGCTCTGAGCGGCACACATTATAAAAACCTCTTCTTTAGATCCTCGCTGCACTTCCGTTTAAACTCCTTCACGTTTCACCGCTCGCCCGGATTTTGTGGGAAAAGCGCGATGGATTTTTTTTTCCCTACACGAATCAGTGATAAACACTAAAATTCTCGCGTCTTGTCGTCACACAGTCGCTCTCACTCACTCGCACGTCTTCCTTAGGCGACTGAGGGTGATGAAGAAGTCAATGACGCGCTCATTAGATTGTCATTGATTAATTTGAAAATGCCGCGCGTTTGCAAGCTACTGGGGATATGTCAGGAAAATGTCGCTGTCTGGCTGAAAGGAGTTATCCTGCTGGCAGAGTGTCCGTGCGCTAGAATCAGCACAATTTCTCAGTTTTCACCGGGAAAGTATTGCGTCGCATTTGAAGCGGGTTTTGCAGCCAATTATGTGTGATATCACGCTTAATATATCTGCTTGTGGTGTGCTTCCCATAAAGCACTCTTTCGCACTTGATATCTTGTGCCGAAAATGTATGTTTTTCCCCCGTCAAACTCCAATTTTACACCACCAAATCACTCTCACTGTCGTAAAATTGCCTTACACGTCTGTGCATTAGCATGTGGAGGGTAAATTGGAAGGGTCTCAATGGGTTAAGTGAGGGTGGAAAGGAGTCCAAAAGTGATGGAAAAAAGATCACGTTTGATTTCCAGTTGGGAAAATTCACTGTGCACAATATGCTGAGGAATTTCCCTGGTTGGCGATGAGAGAGTGTCTCTTCCGAGACGCCAGAGAGTGTGTAATTTATTTACAAGTGAATTACACAAGTTTTAGTTTTTTCCATATCTCAAACCCAATATCACTTCACTCCTCAAAGCCTAGGCACATTAAATAAAATTGTAAAAGTAATATTGAAGCGCGCCTTTTCAAACACCAACCAACTAATTGAAACACGAATTGCTCTGGTAGTGAGAAAATTTCCACGGTATAAAAATTTCACACAATCACTCCGATGTGGTCAGCCATCTTTTCACAAAAATTTGCTGTATGCGTTCTGTATTGGAGGCGAACGTGTAGCTTGGTGTTGTCTGAACGATTGCCGATGTGGGAATGATGTCTGGGGCGTATGAGAATGTGTGTGCATGCTCTCTCTCTGCTCGCGCAAGAGAGGGAGAGACGGCTCACGCACACACGCACGCCACGAAGTTCTCCTCTCAGCCGACCAACACTCAGGCGCTGCGCCATTGCCGAGACCGCGCAAGAGCGAGATGGAACGCGTCAGAGCGAAGGAGGAAGCGAGAGAGAGCGACTGACGATGTGTTGGCTTGGCGGACAATTTTCGGTGAAGGGAAATATTGCGCTTCAAAAATATCCCACTTGCTAACGGTTGCTGTGAAATTAACACAATTGATTATTATCTTTTTTACCCCTTAAACCTGTTTTTTCTTTATTCTATTTTGTGGAAAACCGAGAAAACCCGATAAAACCGAAGACAAAAGACTGCTGAAAATTTTTCTGAAAAAGAACGAGTTTTTAATAAATCTATATTCAAAAATTAATATTCTACTGACTTAAATTTTTTCGAAATACTGACCAAAGTTTTTATTGGGTAAAATTTAATACAATTGACGTGATTTTGAAAATAAATTAAAATAATTTTGGTAAAATTGAAATATGGAAAACGTGTGGGCAACAATTAATTTCTAGTTTTATTCAATATGAAAGTGTAAATTTTGTACTATTCACTGAAATAATGTATCAATTGTAATTAAAATTTACAAATATTGTTCTTGAGAAGAATTCGCTTCAAAACTGAATCCCGTGATTTTATTAATGATCTAACAGCTAAAATAGGTAGAAAATTCATTAAAATTTTATTCTCTCATGAAATCAACCAAGAATAGAAGATTGGAGAATAGGCCTCGTGATAGGGTTAAGATTTAAACTCTAGAGCTTCGACATGAGTTTAGCAGAGATATCAACCATTATTATTGAAGACTCATTGCAGATTTCTAATAATGATTGGGGGCTTTCTCGAGGCGCACACATCATGGATGGAAGCAACCTTAGCGTGCGGTGTCTTTCCCATTCTCCCGCGGGAAGTGAGGAAGACCCCGCCGGCCTTGTCTTCCTGCTGGCAGCCTCTGGGGCCAGTGAATCGCCTGCAAAGCAGAGTCGCCATGCAGCTGTATTGGAGTGGTTTCGCGGGCGAGCAAAAGTGACACTTTGCCACGATTGTGTCACACTAGTCACCATCTTGTTCACAGTACTAACAGGCGAGCAGAAGAGTGGGATCGGCGAAGAGGAGCCGTGGGGTGGAGTGTATGGCGATGTGCTGCGAGGTCAGAAATTGCGCGCTGTGTCAAAATCACATCCCAGAAAGTCAAGCAATCCGCTCAACGTGGAAAAGCACCAGGGCGACAGAAGATTGGGCGCAACTGAGGGCATCAGAGCGCAAAATCTCGTGCAATTTTTATGTTCACTTAGCACAGAAAAACCTACCGCAAGCAACTAACAATTGAGATTGGCGGGCTCCAAAGCCGGGATTAAAATTTAGAGGAGATCCGCACACACGTGTGTGTGGAAATCTTCAGTGTCCCAGCGCGCGAGTCTTGCGGAGAACTGAGAATTCCAATGTGATTTCGTGAGAGGGAATTTCGCTCAGCATTCTCTTAGGAGTACATAAGAGAATGCGAAGCTGCGGCGGCGGATTCTTCGTCTTCTGAAACTCTACCCAACTGCCAACTGCAGATTGTGATACTCCAAAATGTAAGTAAAATTGCTTTTACACCAAAGTGGTTACCACAATACCACGTCGTCGGGTCATTTTGTGTGGTAAATTACTCACAAGTCTGCATGGAGATCATAAGCAAAAGCTGGTTTTTTGCAGTAATTTCAACACCACAAATCCTCCCGACTGAACGTGTACGTCCGAATACCCCTCAATTGGTTTCGTATTGTAAGGATAGAAGGGGAAATAAAATGTCTGGAGCAAAATATTAAGGCTCTGACTTCTTATCTCATGATTGCAAATGTAAATGCAGAAATTTTATATCACGGCTCTTCTGTTAATCACCAACTTTTGCGGTACGCATAAACATTGAAATTGCATGACGTTCGCTCGTTCAGCAGGGCTTTCATTTGGGGATTTTTCGCGGGAAAAATGTATTGGCGACATTTCCGACGGTACGAAATACCCGAAATCCACTTTAGCAGGCGTTCTGGCGAAGTTCGGGGGAAAATGTAGTGTAAACAAAAAAAAACATCAATTGTGGGACAATTTTACTCAATTTCCCACCAAGGCAGCATAATTGTGAGGGTCCAAATCGCCATTGGCGCACCGTTTCTACGCGGGTTTTTCGGCTGGTTGACGGTGAAAGTAGCTTGAATTTCTCGACGCCGGGTGGATTTGGCAGCAAATGAAGAACTGAAAAGTTGAAGACGAAACGACTCACAGGCAACGTTAATTTATTTCTCTTAATTTCCCATTGCAGAGTCCGTCAAATTCGTGCAGTCAACGGTTCCTAACCTCACTTATGGGCGGAGCTTCGTATTGTCATTTCTCACTGTATTTGGCACAGTGAAAATCTTCTCCGGATTGAATGTGGAAATTTTGTGAAAATTTCACATTTGTGGAAAAATCCACGTGGAAAAAAGCCCGACGTGGCGATTTTACAATGAGGAAAATCGTCACGAGTGTGTGCGATATTTCGCGGTCTAAATATTCCACAAACTAAGGGAGAAAGATTGCCCGCGATTTGATGCAATTTTATAGGACAGCAACTTTTTCATCGATACCCAACCAGGAACGCAGCGACTGGCAAATTGAGTGTCGCTTGTGCGGCTGGGCTAGGGTGTCCCGTGAGCGCTGTTCTGGTTGCCTAGTAACATCAGCAACAGTTGGAGGAGCAGTCTTTTCTCACGATTTTCATGTCCAACAGTTGCAAACGATTGACATTCCTGCAAAACTCGCATCTGAAAAGTCCCACGGCGGGATTCGGGCGCGCATTGCTGTGGGATCCACATTGGATGCGATTTTTATGCTTTCCTCCGTTCGTGTGCTGCCAAATAGCATGGAGCATCGCCAAAGTGTGGCGCAATTGCAGTTAGAGTTGGGTTTCACACCGTAAAGAGTAGAACGAAGAGAGAAAGCAATTCATTGTTTCACACCTTTTTTTTCTTGTCTTATGGCTTGAAAAATGTTGAAAATTAACACATCTGAACATGATTTGTGCCAGGAGACCTATAATTATGCTTATAATAATAACAGCTCCCAGTGGGAGTCATTCTGAGTCAAATGTGTTATGTGTGAAGTGTGTTATCTCAAGATCCTTATAAGTCTTTGGTATTCCAGAAGATACAAATTAGCGTTTCGGATTCAGAATTTAACAGTCATCGAAATATCTAGAATATCGTTGGAATATGAATAAAACACGTAAAGTTATGCATTTTTTTTTAAACTCAAATTAAGAGTCAAAATTGTAGTCGAACGTGAATTTTCCACATTTTCTGTGTATAGAAATTATGCTCAAAGACTTTTCAGTCTGTGTAATTTTCTCTTGTTCTCTTGAATTTATTCCATTTATTCTTGTTTAGAGTTTTACAGCATGGGAATACCGTTGTCAGAAAACGGCATGTGAAATGCACAATTCGCAGGGGAAAACACTTGAAAAAACTGAGGTTCTTTCATCTGTGGACCCTCGAAGTGTTAGCAGTGTGCTAACGGTCATTTTGAAATGGGTGAAATTTCAGTTGGCAAACAGTTGAATGTGGTGAATGTTTGTGTGACTTTTCCCCATTCTTTTTTCCTCCATTTTCTGGCAATTTTGGGACTTTCGGGGGCGCCTTTTTGGTTCATTCCTGCGCGGGGGCATCTCCTGCGCGATCTGGCGCGTGATTTTGATGTTGTATCGTAGCGAGAACGGGTGAAACGAAACGAAAAGTGTGATGTTTAACTATGGCAATATGATGACCGATTTCCGGAAGGTGGAATCCTCCTACTCGCCAAAATCTTCCCCGCGTGGCGGTAGATCGCAGGACTCCTCCGGCACCCTGAAGACAACCATCTCGCTGGGGAAGAATCCCTCCATTGTGCACAGCGGTCCCTTCTATCTCATGAAGGAGCCTCCGAGTGAGTGCGCGCGCCTTCCGGACGCGTTTGCAGCCTCTCACGTCAATTTCTTCCTCTTTCCAGGCGAGTGCGGCGTCACGGGGGCGACAAATCTCATGTCATACAACAACTTGGAGCACTCCTACAGCAAGTACAGCGGCAAGAAGGTGAAGGAGCAGCTGTCTTCCTTTCTGCCCAACCTCCCGGGCGTGATCGACGGTCCCGGACAGTCGGACAACAGTTCGCTGCGCAGTGTGATCGACAAACCGCCCATCGTGGGCAAGGAGCTGCTCTCGCTCACCAGTGTTCAGCTCGCGGGTTTCAGACTGCATCCGGGACCACTTCCTGAGCACTACAGATACTTGAACACAGCACCCGCCAAGAAGCACAAGAACAAACACAAGAAGCACAAGCACAAAGACGGCTTGACGCCCCAGGAGTCCGTCATAGGTGAGCGTCTGGCATTTAAACCTTGTTTTGAATTGTTTTCCATTGCAAAAAAAACACTGGGAAGCCGTTCGAGAATCCTCAAGGAAGATTGCTGATTTTCCTAAGAATACACCATACATCATGTCTCTCGCGACATGCTTCTCGTGTCGTCAGAAGAGAGCCTTTCTAATCGCCACCATTTCAGCTGAACAGCTTGAAGCTCTCGGAATCAATACACACAAAATCTGTCACAGAATTGCAGTGCGTTGCCCATCGCGTTAGTTAATGAAGCCAACATATCTCATTAGAATACCATCCATAATGCTCTATCGATTTCACGGATTTGTAGACTTTCACTCCTTAGAACCATTCTGACATTCAGCCTGATAGAAATTAGAACAAGATCAGGCTTCCAATAGGTGGAAAATATTTCATTTTGCTTGCCTGACCTTTTTGATTTATTCTTCGGATTGGTCACTCTTTAGCGATAATCCAACATTTTTCTGGATTGAAAAATTACGAGGTTTACTTCTCAGTACATAATTACTCCTTAATTGTCTTCTTGGAGTCCAACAAGATATTTTATTTGACTCTTTTCTGGATGGACGCAATCGTCTCTAACATCCAATGGTCTGATAAAGCGCTGTACACTTATAAGCTAAGCCGAGAAGACTTCAAAAGAGTTCTGTGCACTTGAAGAGAGATTCTAAGCGAGAATCCTCGCAAAACGACTGCTTTTATACCTCTTCAGTTGCGTTTGAAGGTGTAACAAATTGATTAGAACGTCATAAAGTGACTGATTTTGCTTTGTGAGATTAATTTCCATAGCGGGAAGTTAAAAATTGGTGTTATTGGCAATCTTCTCCGTTCCAGATGCTGCTGGTCTTGATACTCACGAGAAGAAGCACAAGAAGCAGAAGCGGCATGAGGACGACAAGGAGCGGAAGAAGCGCAAAAAGGAGAAGAAGCGCAAGAAACAGCGGCACAGTCCAGAGGAGCATCCGGGAGGCGCGGTTCTGCCGCAGACGCAGATCTTCTGAGGCAGAATCTCAGCCTAATCCAGCCACAAAACTGGCGTGTTAATTTATAAATGTGAAGAGACGCGGATATATATTTAATGCAATTTCATTAGGTTAAGGATGAGGGATAGCAAATGAAGTAAAAACACATATAAAATCTCTTTGTATTCCAAGGACAGCGATGAATAGGATTCTGTTAGACTTTTTTTTTCCTTCTTAAATTAATACGATGAAAAGAAAACCCTTTGTTTGTTTTTTTTTGGAGAAATGATTTTTCAGCACTTTTATTTCTTTCACTTCTTATGAAATTGGTTATAATTCATTTTTTTCTGCAGTTTTATCTATTTATAAAAAAAACCAAATTTTATTAACTCGAAAGCCTTTTAGCAGAAGTAGATGAGAACAAAACAATTGTAAAACAAAGAAATCAGAAGCAACATAAGAAATCAACTCAGAAATTTACAAATTCGTGTGCCTTTAAGACCAAATTCATGTGTTTCTTCTTTTATTCCATTAATATTTATTGCTGAAAGTAATGATAATAATCTGTGCTCCATTTTCTCTACCATGAATAATAGTTTTCCCCGAAAATGTTATACAACACAAAGGCTCTGTATTGAGATGGATGGTACTTCCAAGAGAAGATTGTCTTATAAAAAAAAACATAGTATTGCAAAATGTGTGGAAATAAGTAGTTTTTAGAGATAAAAAAAAAGAACGAAGCTTTCTCAACTTGGTTATCTACAAAATTTGTCTCAAAATAATTACCAAAAAAAATATTTATTCTGTTTTTCACTTTCTCTCTGGGCCTGTTCAAAAACACTCTGCAACACACTATAAACGGCAAAATTGTCCAACTTTGCGTCCGGTTTCTGCTTAATTGTTACTGAAAAACCACCTCGCCGACATAGAGAAGCATGCAATTTTTTTTCTTGATTCTTGTTTTGCTGGCTCGCGCGCCTATTTTATATGTGATGGTGTCTTCTTCTGCGTCTGGACAAACTCACGGAACGCCAATTGAATTTCCAGGTCCATTTCAGGCTCTGCGTCGGCCAATTCATCGCCATCATTGCTGCAGAAGAAACAGAAAAAGGAAAGGTTTTCTTTGTTTTTCAGAGACAATTTCCCTTTGTTGACATGTGCGGAAACTCACTCGAGGTACTCCTCAAAGTTGTTGTTGTTGGGATACGCTGAGGCCTGAGCGGAGAGGAAGGAACTCTCCTCCTCCGTGAGAACCTGACCATCGGGTCCGTAAAAGACGGGTGAATCGTTGCAGTCGTAGTGATTGACCTCCTGAATAGGCGCCACAGCTGAAAGGAAGCCACAAACTCACTGTCAATCAAATGCATTTGCAAGATTTCCAAACAGAAGAACAGATATTATTATATACTCTCTGTGCACCCTTGTTTGGACAGCTGAAGAGAGAGAGAGAGAGAGAGAGACTCACCAATTGGCGCTGAACGCCCCCATCGGTTCGCCTTGAGATCCAGCACGGAACGAATGAGTCGCCCCGTCGAGACGTCCACAGACGTTTCCAGCTGAGCCAGTGAGCTCAGGATCCCAACCAGGAGAGCGCCGCAGTCGATCTCGAGCTCGTACCCGCAGAGCTGCAAGGCAAAGAGAGTCAGAAACAGTCTGTAAATCGACCCAAAGCGCCAAATTAAGAAGATTGACTAAGATGTTTAAACGCTTAATGGAGCCTTTTTGTTTCTAAACATTATTTTTATGCCGAAGACGAAATTGATTTAAATTACACCCGGAAATTACTATTAACCAAAAGAATTGAAAAAAAAACCATTTAAATTTACACTGAATTTTGACTATTTTTTAAGAATCTGTAAAATCTTGAAATTACTCCGAATTGAGACTCATTTCTATTCTTACTTTCACCGGGGAAAAAAAAAGATAAAACCAAGTCGAAACGAACTCGACTTAGGTCAAGACTTGATTTGAGACTCGAAATGGCTGCAATCGCCTTTCAGTACGGTTTTTTTCTCAGGTGGAAATGACTGAAAATGTTAGAATGATGGATATTGTGAGTGATGTGACGAACCTTGAGCGACTGACAGACGCACTTGACGTTCTCCGGGCCCTGCTTGTTGAGCAGGAGCGCCATAGAGCTCACGATGCACTCGCCGATCTCGCCGATGCGCGCCCCGTCGTTCTGCATCTGGATGTAGAGCTCAGCGAGGAAGAGCGTCGTGCCGCGCACAACGTGCTGCTCATTGAGCATGAAGCGCTCCATCTCCATCTTGTGGTGGTTCATCTTCAGGCACAGCATCGTGCGGAACACGTTGCTCTGCTGCAGACTTAGGCTGTCGAGCAGCTGGCACAGGCGCGCTCCCATGTAGCGGAAGTTGGACTCATTGATGCTGTGGTCGAAGATCAGCTCCACAGCGTTGCTCATCACGAAGCGGCTGCCCATCAAGTCAGCGAACATCTCCTTGATCTCCACCTGCAAAGCAGACAATTGTTCGACAATTGACGAGTGCTCATCAGCTTCACACTTCTGTTCACTCTGACCCTCAGGCATTTGTGACCTCTAATATCTTTTGAGGCACTCCAATCAGTCTTTATCACTTAGCGTTTTTTTTTCAACAGTGTCGCTGCGCGGGCGATTAACTGTTTCTTAACCCTTCTCCAAAGCTGAGGGAGCTCAGTGTGTTTCGTGAAGAAAACGAGAAAATTAATCTATAAATTCATAGATAATTTATTGCTCTGCAACGCTCTTATTAATTTAATCAGAGGACGTCATCAGTCTTGTTCATCTTGTTAAAATTCTCGAACTAAATTTGTCGCAAGGCTTATACTTCACTTTTCTATTCCGTTAAGTGTTAAATTGTCGCCAAAGAGCGCTCTGCATCACGATGAAAACTTTAGAAAGATGCGAGGCTTCCAATTTCTCAATTTCTTAGGGGGGGCAATAATGAAGGGAGACAAAATTGAAATATACTTTATAATTTGTGTTACATCTAAAAGTCCTTTTGAAATCCTAATCCCACTATTGTCTCTGATTGCTAGAAGCTTTGAGGGACGCAAAAATCGATCAAAAGCAGTGTCGTGGACTGTCTGTGAGTTGTCAAGTCCAATTGCATCTATAAGAGTGAATTGAACACGCTCACGTGCCAATTGGAGTTCAACACTCACCTGCACCTCCTCGTACATGCCGGGCTGGTCGGTGAGCTGCTTGATGATGTGCGAGAGCATGTCGAGCGCGGCCGTCTCCTCGTGCGACGGATGCTCAGCCGCCCCGCCGCCGCCGCCCTCGAAGTTGTTCTGCGCCTCGTGCTGCACGGCGCGCGGCACGTGCATCACGTGGCGCGTGGAGTTGATGCGATCCTGCACCGTGGCGCGCTGCATCTGCTGCGCCAACTGCATCTCCGTGTACATGCCCAGCGAGTGGTTCATGTGCTGGTGGCGCATGAAGGCCAGCTGCTGATGCTGCTGCTGGTGCTGCTGCATGTGCATGTAGGGGTGGTTCATGGGCGCGGGGAACTGCCGCCCCGCCGACGGCATCTGCGGCGGCGGATGGTGGTAGTTCTGGCCGTGGTGGTACATGGGCCCCATGTGCGGCGGATGGTGTCCGGGCGCCTGGTGATGGTGGCCGACGTCGTTTGTCATCTTGTTTTTTGGAATGAACTCCTTCGCCTCCGCCGACAGCGCTACACTACGTCCTGGCTGGTGGTGAACACCTGCAAATACGAGCACTGCCGTTACCCAAGAGCACTCCCGGACGCTTTCTCTCTGATGGCTCTCTTCCTGGCCCAACAAGAGAGTCGAAAAAAAAACACCACACTCGTCTGCTGGCAGTTCCGTTAGTCGCGCGACTCAGGTGAGATCGCGATGTGCGAGCGAGAGAAAAAGGTGTCACCACCACATCCACACAAGTTGCAATCCACTTTCTTTTTGCAGGCAAAATCACGTCTTTCTCTTCGCAATGTTGTTTTTCCTCTCTCGCTCGCCAGCTCGCAAAGCGGCCAAGTGAGGTTAGGTTGTGCTGTCAAGCTGCGGGGTGAGGAAAACACACACTCCGCCCGGCTTTTTCCGGCAAAACACCACAGAAAGTGCGTGCAGGGCTTGCATCCTTACCTCTCATGTTATCCGGATGGGAATTAGACTGCCTCAGGGGGTCATAATGCCCATCAAATGACTTTGAAGATCGTCCGGGTCCCGATTGATTCATACCACACGTCTGGCCACTTTAGCCGCTCCCCGAGACGTTCTATCACAGTTCACACGTGCCAAAGACCTTCTGCCGGTGCTCCTTCTGTCCACCACGTCACTCTTTTACGGGTTTTGGGGCTTCTTGGGGGGGCTTTTTGCGCAATTCTCCCAGCCACTGCCACGAGAAATGGCCTCTGGTCGACTTTGGGACAGCGGCGCCACTTCATCGACCAGTCGATGACTTTTCAAAGCCGCGTTGCCGTTGGCAACCATATATATATGCAACGCACACACTTCCTGGACAATTTGGGACAGACGCAATTGTTTCGGAATAATGGCTTTCTTTCTCTACTCTCACTGTCTGTGTGTGTACATTCTGCTGGAGGGGATGATTTGAGGTGATTAGAAAGAAAAACAGAAGTAAAGTGCCATTGAGGTCCATTCGCTATTTACAGATCACGTCATTGGGATTCTCTCTAGAAGTTGATGGGCTTGCCGAAGGCGGCAGACAGGTTAGCCTCTCGCAGCGCTTCCGAGCATGTCTGTAAGACAACACATTATGTCACTCAGCGAACAATCGACCATCTCAGGAAGAAACTCACCGGATGAGCGTGACAGACGCGCGCCACATCCTCAGCAGCTGCGCCGTATTCCATCGCCAGTGTCGCCTCGTTGATCAGCTCACCCACGCCCGGACCGATCATGTGAGTGCCGAGGATCCGGTCGGTGCTCTTGTCCGCCAACACCTTGATGAATCCGTCCGTCTCGTCGTTGACTTTGGCCCGCGAGTTGGCCATGAAGGGGAACTTGCCCACCTTGTACTCCACGCCCTCCTTCTTCAGGTCCTCCTCACTCTTGCCCACCCACGCAACCTCCGGGTGCGTGTAGATCACGCTCGGCACGCAGTTGTAGTCAATGTGCACCGGACCACCCAGCATTCCCTCCACGCACACGATGCCCTCGTCCTCCGCCTTGTGCGCCAGCATCGGGCCGTGGATGCAGTCGCCGATGGCGTAAATGCTGGGCACAATGGTCTGGAACTGCCCGTTCACCGGCACGCGACCCCTGTCGTCCCGCACGATGCCCACACTCTCCAGGCCCAGGCCGTCTGTGTACGGGCGCCGGCCGACGCTCACGAGCAGCACGTCGCAATCCAACTGGAACACGGAGGAGGAATATTAATCACGCGAAAATTTTGCAAATATACCGAAAATTGTCGGTAAAAATGGTAGAAAATGCTCACCTCTTCCTTCGTGCCACTCTTAACGCCCTCGATGGCCACCTTCACGCCGCTGCCCGTGTTCGTGGCGCCGGTGACCTTGTGGCCCAGCTTGAACTCCAGGCCCTGCTTCGTGAGCACCTTCTGGAACGTCTTGGACACTTCGCCGTCGATGCCCACGCCGCCGATGCTGTCCAGGAACTCCACAGCGATCACCTTGGCGCCCAGGCGAGACCACACGGAGCCCAGCTCCAGGCCAATGACGCCGGCTCCGATCAACACCATGCGATCGGGCACGCACTCGAGACTCAGCGCTCCAGTGCTGGACACCACGGTCTTCTCGTCGATTTCGATGCCTGCGGGCCAAAAGAGAGCGAGAATCTTGAGTTGACATTGCTCAAATATGGATATCTCAATCATAATTGTGTGATTTTGAACAGCGAAACATGTTATAGGGGCATTAACACAGTGTTAAAGATGTGGTAGCGCTAATTTTACAAAAAATTTCATCCAATTTGTGCACTAATTCGTCAAGAGAGTTAAAAATTGCAAAAGAAGGCAAAATTCCGCGCAAAAATGAATTCTCATTTATGTTATTGGTTGCGCTGAATCCAACGAAAATATTGCTATCTTTCAGTCCAAATCCAAAAAAATAGCGAATCAATGCATCCGATATCACTTTCAAAGCCACTCTTAATCCCCGCGTCTTAGTCCGACCGGCTCACCTGGGAATGGAGTCACTTCGGAGCCCGTGGCGATCATGATTCGCTTGGTCTTCACCACCTCCTGGCCGGCGTCCGTCTTGGCGGTGACTTCGTTGGGCGACGTGATAGTGCCGTGGCCCTTAATCAGGTGCACCTTGTTCTTCTTGAAGAGCTGCGCAATGCCGCCGGTGAGCGCCTTCACGGACTTGGACTTGGCGTCCATCATCTTGTCAATGTCCGCACGGACGTTGTCCACCAGGATGCCTCGCTTCGCCAGGTCGCCCGAGTGCGCCATGTGGAAGTAGTGGGAGTTGTTGAGCAGGGACTTGGATGGGATGCAGCCCACATTCAGGCAGGTGCCGCCGCAGGTGTCGCTCTTCTCCACGCACACGGTCTACAAGAAGGGTGTCCGGAAAGAGATGTCAGTGTCACTCACGGAGCAGCGCTGTCGGACTCACCTTCATTCCCAGCTGCGCGGCCTTGATAGCGGCCACATAGCCGCCCGGTCCGGAGCCAATCACCACCAGATCCACCTCCTCGCCGCTGGTGTAGTGCCTCCTGCCCAGGAAGCCCAGCGCTGGCCGGTGATTCCGCAGCACGAGGTTTGTCTGTGTGAAAAAAAAATCACATCACGTCATTGGCCCCACGGTGGCACCTTATCAGGCGCCCCCAAGTGACCTTCTCTTGGGCAAGTCACAATTTGTTGGGGGTTAGATTGCATAACCGCAAAGACTCGCCATAGAGCTATTGAACAACACAGGCACAGAAACTCACCTTTGCCGCGCACTGCACGATGTTTCTGATATTGCACTGCATTATTCCGGGACTACACCAATCGCCGCACACTGGAAACGTTCACGCGTGATGTGAAAATGCAGCAGAGAGTGAAAATTTGGAGTGGAAAGACTTCCGATTGCAATTTTGCCGATGTGAAATATGGAGCAACCCGGCTGGCAAACTCTACGGTCACTACTGAGACGGCACTTGACAGCAGTTTGCAAAAAAGAAAATTCTTCTAGTCGAATTGCAGCGCTCCCTGGCGATTGATGGCTAAAATACACATTCAAAAGTCACATTAGCGCAGGAAAAAAATAAGTCCACGCAAGTGACATAATATTCTTGATTTATTTAAGTTAATTGTATTCTCATAAATAGTCCATCCACATTACATACACACTTTATTCTTTAATCTCACTTCGCTAATCTAGTTCCCCCTTCTAAAATATCCACCGCAACATTTTTTTTCAGTAAATGTTAAATACTCATTCGATATTACTAATAAACCTACATTTTTTCCTCAATTTATATAATAACTTTTTTTTCTCTGTCACTGTTCCCAATAATGAGGAGACAAAAATGTGTAACACGAAAGAAAGGATTTGATAGAAAGAGGAAATATTATCTGAATAAGAAAAATAATATTTACATAATACGAAATCAAAGGGAAAAATATACTTTTTCGTGTTTTACTTGAAAGCAACCACTCTTTTTCTCATCATCAAAACATGCAAATATCCTTCTTTTTAACATTTATCATTATTTGACTATACGATATCATAGTATTTTTTCCTTTTTAACTTAAATGGAAGATGATTTACTTAATTGTGCTTCTCTAGAAAGCTTCTTTTCCTTCTCCTAAAATGATATTTAAATATTTCTTTGAAAAAAAGAAATGTTATTAAAATACTACACAGAAAAATGTTGCCATGATTTTTTTTTTAAATTTTAACACTACGGCCAGGGAATTCTTGCCCAAATGGCCGTTGCCGTGATTTGTATTTAATAGTACAAAATTTCACGGTTTTGATTTACATATTACTGTTTTTTTTCTTTCTCCAATTCTTTTATTAGCTGTTCCCAAAAATGGGTGCTCTTTTTTTTAGGCCTTTTCATGTCATCCAATATATAGAAAAAATTTATGCAATGATTAAAAATTAGTTCATTCATCAATTTTACTTCGACTTATTCTTTAATGCCAATTCATTTTTTTTCTCGTGTAAAAATTTCTAAACATGCAAATAAATAAGGCATCAATTGAAATACATTTGTCAAAAAATTATCTTCACTGTTCTTAGTTTATTAAAAAAAAAATTATGATTTTCTCTTCCAAACATTACGTTATTTTAATATTATTATGGTTGTTATATATTTAAGATTTTACTGCTCTCCTTCGTATCTGCAAGAAATTGCCAATTATGCGCAATGTTTCATGAGAATTGCATTAATTTCGCTTGTCTTAAAAATGCACGACAATTGTGACTTTTCACCATTATAACGATTACAGACTTGAATGAATGGTGTGAATAAATGGGAGACGTTTGATGATTTTGTGTTCAGCAACTATTTCTTCAACTATTTTCTCCCTCTCGGTAATTCTTAAATCTTTTTGACTCTCTTTTATGCATACAATACAACAGATATTCAACATCAATTGATATTTCTTTCGGAATAAACTGCTTCTTTTCCTTCTCATATTTTCTTCTCTTCTCTTTTTATCTATTGCAATTACAACACTTTACGGTGACACGTCAAATTCTCCATAAAACATTTAACTATTAATTCTATCAATATTTATTCTTCTATTTTGCTCTATTTTTTTTTAATGCTATTGCAAACTCAAATTTGTTTTTTTCAACCAGCAATTTTCCCTCCCAAAATGCAGTTGGCAAAGTGTGCTTCCGAAAGGGAAATCAAAAAAAACTAAACATATTCACATCAAACATTGCGGGCAATTCTGTGCAGTATTTGCTGCTTAACATCCTCCACGTGGACCGTCAGCATGAGACCTCTTAGCGTCATCAACGTCCTTCGGCGGTGTTTCCTTCGCGAAATTAGAAAAAAAAAAATGAATTTTCAAATGTTAAATTTAACATCAATAGAAAAAAAAATCCCGCAAAAGGTGCTTTATTCCGTTGCCATTTACTGTATTTCTATCTATTTAGACAAAATTAATAAAGATAATTGAACATTAATTAACGATTTGCTTTTATTCTCACCTCTGTAACTAAAACACGCTCTCGCTCGTGCATCGAATTGATGAGTTCACGCAAGTGTTGATTCTCCCGACGCAGCATCTCTCTTTCCACGTCGCGCTCATTCAGTTTTGGCTGCAAAACGCAAGGGAAGAAAAAACAACATTTTCAAGTCATTCCAGAGCGGCGAGGAAGCAAAGTACTGACCAAAAGTTGGGAGACGAGAGCATTGAGGGAAGTTGTGTGGCTGGAAATGAGGTGACAGGGAACGGCCGGCGCCAGAGAGTTGGTGTGCAGAAGCCTGCTCTGGCCACAGAAGTCAGTTGCCGCCACCGGCGCCTCTTCGGCCTTCTCCCGCTCAGCGGACTTCCTGGAATCCTCGCCGGCGCCCACGTACGCCTCATTCACCTCAATGCGACTCTGCTGCGCCTCCGACTGCATCTCAGATTCTGTCTCCTCGGGAATGGAATTCGTGCTGCGCCTCTTCAGCTGATCCACGGCGGCACGCACTGGCGGCGCCACAGAGCGCAGCTCGACAATCTCACAATAGCCATCCTCATCCTCGTGCACAGAGTCCTCGCGCTGCAGCACAGGATGCGCCCGGCGCTCGGACTTCCTGTGGCAGTCATCACAGAGTGACATAGACACGGCGCTGATCTCTTGTATCTGACTCACGCGCGTGTAGTCATTGAGAGCCTCCGTGAGTGACTGCACCTGTGCAAATGCCGCCAACACCAAATCACTGGGATCCTGAAATGAGACAGCCTTTGTGTGTGTTTTACGGGAAAGAGACACATTTTAGACACTGATTGCACATGCACGAGTTACAAAGAAAAAAACACAGAAAAGCACAGCGTAATGCGCACTCACCTTTGGCGCCTCCGGTTGGCCAGCGATGTCAGCAATTGCCGAGAAGTGCTCCACTGGCATTCGGAACATGTCGCAAACAATCTGTTGCTTCTCCGCCAGCATGCTCTTGATGGATTCATCCAATCGTCGCAGGCGTTCTGCACAGAAATGCACACAAAAACATGAATGAGAATTTGGTACAGAATTCAAAATCGCACATTTTCAGTGGGAAATAAACTCAATAAACTCTTAATTGAATTGAAAAGTTACCGGATGGCGTGAGAACGGGCTCGGCTGTGAGGAAGGGACTGACGGTGACCTGCACTTCGCTGGGCGCCACCAGTGAGCACTGCTGCGTGAGCGTGCGTGTGTTGCAAGAGTTGGACAAACCGTTGAACTTCTGCTTCGTCACATCCTCTTCCTCAGCTCTCTTGTTCTCCTCTTCATCCCGCTCCTCATCCTCCTCCTCATCGACGCCTTCATCCTCATCATTCGCCGACTCTCGACTCTCCTCGCTGTCTTTCTTAAGCTTCTCCCGCCGTCCATCTTCCTCCAGCTTCTGCTGGTGCTTCTGCGACTTGCGCCTGTCATCACTCAAAGCGGGCAAATCTGTGCGCTCCGGCGTCATCTCGAAGGAGTCCTTCTCCTTCGATCCTCCGCCCGCCGAGTCTGGATTTATGTCATGACTGCCGCGTGTTCTCGCCTTGTACGCCTCAGCGGCATCGGAGATGTGTTTGAACCACCTGATAAAAAAAATGACAGAGAGAAATTCAGCTTTCATTAGCAACACTTGGATGTGCGAAGTGGAAGAAAGATGTCAATGGCTGTGAAACCTATGAACTAGTGACGCTCTGCGCGATGGCACGGGTTCACTCAAACTCCCGCGTCGCTTCTTCTCCTTTTTACCCACGATCGCACCATTTCCACTCGTCACACTTCCCGCACAGATGCTCTTTCGCCTCATGCCAAAGTGCACATCGTCCGGCGAGAGCAGATTCATTCTTATTCATCTGAATACTATCAGTGTTCTGGTCAGCAATATTTTGGCTATTTTGGCTTCAATGAGAATTCACACGCGAGACGAAAAACACACATAAAAGTTCAAGTATTCTTCACCTCATGCAGTTAAAATGGAATATAATTGAATAAAGTCAAGAGAATTTGAGCAACAGTTGGTTGTCATTTTGCACATTAATTCACTTCTTTAGACGCTTCATAACATTATGAAATTATTTTTGAGAGAGAGAGAGAAAAAAAACATTTTAGTTACTACTTTAACTGTTTGGATAGTAAAAGAAACCTGAATATGAATATAAAATTTGCATTTAATCTATTTCTTATGTAATTTCTCAGTTCAACAGCAATTTTAAGAATTTTCAAGTCTTGCAAGTCTTTATCCTAATATCTTAAGGAATTTTACTTAATATCTTCCGGATAAGTTACTAATATGACTAAAGTTTAAACAGCAAATAACGAGAGGCAATAATTCACGAAAAATTAACATAATTTGACCGTAAAGTAGATCAGTGCGTGCTTCAATGAATTAAAGCGTGTCACGATCAAGGATTAAATATATCTGATGGCACAAAACTTCTCTGTCTAATATTAGAGAATCACAATCTTTCAGTGATTTATTCAAGTGAATATTCCACTCCATAATGTTTATATACAACTCCTCGATGTATTTTTATTGTCACTGACGAAGGAAGCAGAACGAAATTCCACGTCCTAAAATACTCTCTCCCTTTTTCCCGAAAATGCAATGTTTGGTTTAAGAGAGAAAGTGGAAAATTCACTTTCCACTTTCCCACACTGAGAAATTCTCTTTCACTTTCAATGGATATTCTGAATGAGAGTGAAATTTCCCTCTCAAAAGTCATCCACTCTTAACTGTGTTTACGCAGAATCCGAATTATTCAACCTTTTGCGAAAGACGAACATTTATATTAAGGAACATTGTGAATTTACAATGTTTCATCGCTTAAAGTCAATGACATACATTTGTGGCAGAAAAAAGAATTAATTACACTTTTTCATATTTGGCTTTGATGTCTTTAAAGGATGATAAATAAAATTTATAGGACTCTGAGAGATAAAAATATGGATTTCAATTTTATATCATGAATTTTCATACGAAAATGAATTATTAATTAAATAAATCAATACACAAAGTTCTCATTAATCGTCACTGAAAGAACAGAGTAGGATTATTTGCCACAAAAATATTTGTAGGAAAAAACTTTTGAAATATATTAATTAATAAACCCGAAAATGTAATGAGAAATTGCCAATTAGTTTTAATTAGATTTGTCAGACCATTCATGCGTGGTTTTATTGTGACAAAATACGCAATTCCAACTTTTAGTCATTTAACTTTCAGCACGTTATTTAGCAACACACCATATTTCATCTCATCACTCCTCATGACAAAAGAGTCATTGAATGTTACGGAGCAAATGAAATTCTGATCAACACACATTTTATAGGAATCAGAACAGCTAAAATGATTTATACAACGATGCACTGCAAACGAATATGGATTTGCCGATGCAGAAATTTGTTAGTCAGATCTGTAATTTAATTAGACATTTGACATTTAATTAAAAATCCCGCTTTTGTACATCCATTTTCAATTCAAGTGCACAATGTCAAATTGCATCTCTGCATCCATCGTATAAGTCCACTGTTGAAATTCCCCGATTGTGACTCCATTACTAATTGCTTCACAGACTTGGCAATAGCATCAACTCAGTATCAACTATTTTTCTGCATTATTTGGAGTGTGAAGTGATTTGTTGTAATGCCACATTTTTGCTCCATAACTGCACACAAACTTCACAACTTCGCAGTGAATAAAAAAAAATCGATAGTGTTTCTCGAAAGTAAACACTGATATATCTCTGTCTTATCGCACAAAGATAAACCAACTATGTTTACAATTAATTTCCACCAACTTCTTGTGCTCAATTCTCACTCTGCAATAATATAATTTTCAAGCAAAAACATATAATGCAATAAAGTATGAGAGACTTTTCACTGAAATCGCGTGGAAAATGTGCTGCAAAAGCAAGAGACTTATCGTCCCAATGAATGTCAACACGAGACTGAAAGAATTTCAGAGTGAGCACCAATAGTCATTGCTTAGCTGTATGGAAATTGTTGAGAATTCAACATACACACAAACTCCATCGTGAAACTTAAGCACTTCCAACTTTTCTTCCTTAAATAACCCCCAAATGCCCTCAAGCAAAACATATTCAGAAACATTTTCCAGCCCTAAATGCAAAAAATAGCGCCAAAAAGTTGGATATAGTTTCAATGTCAATAAAAGTTTTTCCCCCCTTTTTGTGACTTTTGAGAATGTATATATTCTATATTATTTCTTCATATGAAAACTATGAAGAGAATTCTCACAAGAAATTATTTGTATATAAATAGAGTTTCACCTCCATTGAGAAAATCAACTCATTATCTCCTGTTTTTGACTCTCTCACACTACGCATTCAGAATGAAAGACACGAGAATATTAAATAGATCCGATATTACAGTCATATGCACACTATATTAGCGCACAATACATTTTATACTTAGTTTTGTAGAGATTTTTATTCAGTTAATAAAATCCTATTATATCTTAATAGGAAAATTATTTGATTTGTCACTTTTATCATCAACCTTTTCAACCATTCAAATAAACTGCTCATCAGACATTTTCATCTATATTATAAAGTATATTATTGTATCCATGATTCTTTACTATTAATATGCGTCTGTATTTTCCACCAAAAACACGCGCCATCGTCTTATGTAGAAGGAGAATGAGTGTAAACTACCGTATATTTATGCAATTAACTTGGATTATTATTCAAAGTTGCGGAAATTGACTCTCACAAATGCTCCCCACATTTCTCAAACACTCTGCAAAACACACCATCGAAAGCGAGTCACTCACAATTGATAGTTTCCTTGTGATAATCATTGATTCACACATTTTTACAGAATATTCCATTTCTTGTCATTTATGGGAAAATAGAAGCTTCTCTGATAGATAAAAAGCAAAAGAAAAAAATGGTGCATTCAGGTGATAAAAGCAAAGAAGGACAAAAGAAAATAGGTCAATTTTGTCACATGTCCATTAGATTTTCTTTTCATACGTATTGAGTGCAAGCATCAAATGATGAAAAATATATTGATTTCTCCACATCATCGAAGTTTTATCTTCAATTAGGAATTAATACTTTTGTATAGAAATGCAGACTTCAGAGTATTTATTAATTAAATAAAAACTTGCAATTTTTCAATCAAACCAAATCAAATCAGAGACATTTTTGTGCGTTCAGTCTGTGTTTGTCGAAGAGTGCAGTGTTTTGCTGTCTGAAACTTTGTCATCCATTGAAATATATTTATCTAAAATTCTGAATAATTTTCAATCAGCAATATTTATTTACCACAAAAGATTGTGGTGTAATATTCTCATTAAGATGAACGCATTGTAAAGTATTTTGTCACGAATGTAAAATACTTCTATTCTAAAGATATTCAAAGTACTGAACGAGATTGTTTGCAAATTTTTCAAAAAAAAGCTAATACTTTGAGAATAAACATGTAAGTCATTGTTATTTTACATTAACATAAGAGTTCATAGAAAAGAAAACTAAGTGAATATTTTACTTTAAAATACCATCAAAGGGTCGAAAGATCAATTCTTTAGCTCTGAGACATTGTAGAGAAATTTTGTTGCTGTTCAGCTTTCATGTTGACAAAAAGAACTGAGTTTATTGCACAAAAGCATAATGCAATATGCACATCACCTTGGTCACAATCTTATCTCTCTACAAAATATCAAATTCTAATTGTTTTTCCATGTTTGAACATCTTTTTCTCCATCAAACCTTTCTGTGAGAGCATTTCATTGATTAATAAATAATGCTAAATCACACATTCAATATCAAATAAGACGTTTGGTATGATTATTCATCTATTTAATACCATTTTCAAGGTGTATTTTCCCATTTGATCACTTCGTGTGTATGTCACACTGCTATTGCTTATATGGCTTGAGAAATTGCTAGACATATTAAAGAAAAAAGTGTGTAAAACTTCAACAAATGCACTACGTTTCAATAGTTTTTTTTTCAATCACCATCACATATCTTTTGATCTTTGCAATGCTAAAAGTGATTTAGTAGCTTTTGCAAATGTGACAATTTTTCAATTAAAGCTTTATTCCTTTATTGTCAATTTTTTTCACCACTATGAGCGAAATTGGAAAAGTGCATTTTATATGCCTTTCTCATTCTCAATGATTAGACGTCGATGACGAAAAGAAAAACTTGGATTGATTATTTTATAATATAAATTGTGCAGAATTATTTCCACCCATTTGATATTCTTGACCGACATCTGGAGGTCTAAAGTGGAAGATTTATGATTTCATGTCTTATTACTCACAATTCTCATTGGGTCGCGCATTCTGGGTATTGTTTATTTTAACTTTGCGCTACACGGAAAACTTGCAAAAACACAAAACTACCAATGATGGACGCACAGAGTGACTTCCAATGGCTTGGCGTCACTCTTTCTATCGCTCAAACGCGAATGGCGGAATCGCCAAGTGAAAAAAAAGCAACTAAAACTACACGAGACACACTAAATTTGCTCAACAGATGGTAAATCGATAAATACAATTTCAGTTTGTATGTGTGTGTGTGTGTGTGTGGGGAAGTCACACAAATTTGTTATTAATTTAACGAGTGAGACACACACTTTATGGCGCCCTAATCATACACACTTCGATCAGTCCGAAACTTGGGAGAAAAGTCCCCAAGATAGAAATGCTCTTTGCGTCTCTCTATATACTCACCCTTTGCACTCTGAGCTGCTGGGCGTTGTCAATTCCAACATTTGCGAGAGGCTCGTGTTGATGAGGAAGAAGGTGGTCTTGTCCACAGCCGACTGACGCACCAGCATCAAATTCACCTTGATGATGGGATAGAAGACAGATTCCTTGCTCTTGTTCTCAGAACTTCCCGCTCCTGGATTTGGCAACACCTTCAGCACATAGCGATCATCTTGCTTCTGCAGCAACACCATTATGTCTTCGAACAGCAAACCATGCAGTTGCGTTGTTGGACTCTTCTTCATGATCAACAGTCCATCGTGAACTAACTTGTGATGAGTCAAGTCGAGATTTTGCATCAAATACTGCAAAATAAATCAGAAAACACATGAGAATTCAACTTCATATAGTGTTTATTACTGAAGTCTTACCTTAATCTCACTTCCAATATCCTTATCGACGGTTGCTTTGTCCAATTTCTTCTGGATGGTTTGCAATCTAGCAATATAGAAGGGTATGAAAATCTACATTCAAATGATTTACAAACAATCTAAACTCACTTGTGGGCATCTTCTGCCACCCGCACAGCCTGATTGACATGATTGAGAATGTCACGGGAATTGTCTAGAGCCTTCTGGATTGCCTCCGCCTCGGCGATGTTGTCCGGTGTCACGCGCACTGTGATCTTGAAGAGGCTCTCAAACAACAGTGGATACTTGGTGAGACGCTGCAGAGCCGTCGGCAGGAGATCCTTCAACTGAAGACGTCGACACGCTTTATGTGCCTCCGCTTTGGTGAGTAATCTTTGGAGATTTTCATCCTTGCGACGCTTCTCCTTCAGCGCCTCCAGTGCAATCTGCTGCCTGGCACAGAACTGTGCCGCATTATCCTTGAGATCCTCCCCGGATTTACCGTCAAACATGGCCAACAGCAAATCACCAATATCACCAACCAGTGACACAGAATCGATTCGACGCTGCTTCAGTTGCATCTCAAAAGAACTATGAAGATCCTTGAGTGTCAGCAAAGCCGGAGGGAACAGCAGATTCAGATGTTCAGCATTCAGCACGCCCGATTCCTGCAGCGGTTGCATAAAGATGCCCTCCAGCAGCCTCAGCGTCCTCACATGATTCTTCTCTGTCTGGTAAATTTCTGCAAAAATTAATAAAACGAACATTACAGCGACAATAATTGCCGATGTTCGTGGCATTTGAAAAGAATACGTCTCGTTCACGGCTACTTAACTAGTTTGCAAATTAGGCGAATAATTGGTAATATTGAGCTTTTCTTCGACTGAATCTTTTAAAAGTCGTAACAATTTACTGTATACAGAATTTAAGAAGTTAGCAGTAACTGCGATTTGTCTATGAATATACCATTTATAATCTCCTGGCGTTTCTTCTCAGCATCCGATAGATTCTGAAGAATGTCGGCCGCGACATTCGAGCTCCAATCAGTCTCCAAATCTCCTGCAGCCTCATCGTCACTCTCCACCCATTGCCGCGCCGAGACGGCATGATGCGACGCAGCACCAGCAGTCGAAGCTCCAACCGCCTCAAACGATATACTAGGACTATCTAAACTACTGTTGAGAGACAAAGAGAAGAGTGTGGAATTATAATTTCTCATTAGAATATGAATTGGAATAGGAAGAAATGTTTTTCACAGAGAATCAAAAACTTACTTGGAAGACAGACTAGAGCTCGAACTGGCTGGATATTCGGTGTTTGTAAGTCCCAATTCCACTTGTTGATCATTGCTGCAAATGAAATATTCACAATACGCATGTTATTTGACGTAATCAATCAATTTGAGTAATCAATATTGCCAGGAATATTCTCCTATCCATACCTCTCAGTGTGGACTGCCATTCAGAAAGAAACATAGATATTTTCCAGAATGCACTCTTTTGCCCTAGTTTCAATACTAAACTGAATAAAATCTGGAACACTTTGTAGTTTCATACACATATGTATGAAATATAACCCTTTTTCGCTGATGAATTGGTGAATTGATTGATAACTCTCATCACCTATTGTTTCCCTTTGTACTGCAATAATGTAATTACACTTTATTGCGCACATATTATTCAAGCTTTGAAAAAATTAAATCTATTTCAATACTGTACATAATGACACATAAAGTATGTAAAAATTACAGAATGAAATGTGTCGATATATACATATTGACTGATCCATTAAAAATCTCCAATCAACTGTGTTTAAGCATTATGATTTTGAACTTATTTTTCGCATTATTTAATGTTTTGCCTACTTACGCAATAATAAATAATAATGTGAACATCATGACTAAGTCGCAATGAGAGTATAAGGATAATGTGTCCTTAATTGAATATCACCCACTAAGCATTACCTTCCCATGTTAATTGCCACGTGAAGGAGTGTGTGAATGAGTGGAAAATTTTCACTCTATCATATTCATTTGCAATAATCAACTTATAAATTTATATTCACTCTCCCTCACTGTACATTTATCACATTCATCCACTTAGAATATTATGTGTTATGCCACATACATACAACAAAATGGTCATAAAGTGTGGAAAACTTCTTCACAATTTTTCATTGACATAATAATAGACTCGACATATAAATACTTTTGCCCATTTACCAAGATATCTGCATATTAATTAGATAAATTTCTCACTGAAACTCCTTTTTTTTCGAGAGCGAGTCCATTCTTTAACATTTTACTATACAACGGCGAATGTGATGAAAAATCGCGCCAAAGAAAAAGGAAAACACAGTTTCAGAGACGCGCCACAAGGATATCAGCCCGTATATGAATGAAGACGGTCTTATCACCCTGAATCACTCCATTTCATTCTTCTCGTCGCCCTTTCACCTCCCCCAACATTCACACCCCAAATCTCGTGATCAATAAATGCTTTGAGAAATCATATCATACAGCACAAATCTTAGTGGATTCTCCCTCGATCGTGTTGCCAAACGGTGCGTTTGACGAAATAGGCATTATATGTTGGAGGAGGAAGCAAAAATTCTAGTCATTTCTACGTTCTATTGATTATTTAATACCATCCACGCCCAACTCTACCACTTAGTCACCCTCTCGACCTCACGACATCGCATCGTCCACCTCACTAATCAACACACACACGCGCGAACGCCTTCAGAACTCTTCCCAACATCTTGTTTCTTATTTGGCATAAATATAACAGAAGAAAATTGCACGTGCAATTGAAGATCAGGATTATTCTGAACAATAATACAGAGTATTGTTATCAAATTACCAGTGATAATTTGATTACCATAGAGAAGTTGGATGTCATTTACTCAAATTTCATCTGTTTTTTTCATATTTTGCAAAAAATACTATAATAATAATAATAATAATAATAATAATAATAATAATAATAATAATAATACTATAATATTCTATATTATTATCAGTGGACTTTTCAGACATCATTGCCAAAGGCGCTGCAATTGTAAATAATACTGAAGTACAGAAATTGAAATATTTTTAATATTCCAAACAGTTTTGAGTTTGCAAACTTGACTCAATATTTGAACAGCTTAGAGCGATTACAGACTAGCTGATTATCCACACAAGTATGTAATCGCTCTTACAGTGGAATATTAATTAAATTTTTTGAATGCAATTTCTCTTTGAGACTAAAGTTACAGTGGTTTGAAATATTTTTGTGCTGACAAATAAATTTTAGTTATATTTGATGATATGTCTCAACTTCAATTCCCAGGTTTCAGAGTCAAATAAAACCCTCAACCACATGTCGTATTTCAAACATTAAATGGTGCCTGAACGAGGACTGATGTGTTGTATACCAAAAGGGACAAAAGATACCAGAAAAAATATCGCCGACAGCAGAGTAAAAAAAAGTCAAATACTCTATATTAATTAAATCGCAGTTTCTTGGTTTGAAATACATCAAACACGGTATAACAAGTGACTGACTATGAGCTAGTTTAAAAGCATACGAGCTTTGCAAAGCTTTAAAAACATTTTAACATCCCTCTCAGCAAGATGAATTTAGCACAATTTCGTTGTTGGTCAAATTTTTCTTATTCTTGGTATTGTTTCATTCAATTGCGACGGAAAATTTGTGTGTTTTTTGAGTAAATTAACTCATCAAATCAATTATTTTACTAGACCAGACTATTGTAATATATTTAGTGAAGCAGTGGAAATTCATATAGAATATTTATAGAAATGCTGCACCTGACAAAATAGCATTGAAATTTTCTAATTGAACTAATTTTGTTACGCGAAATGTCGTATTTTGTCCATATGCATTGCCACCCAATGAAATAACAAACTTATTGGCGCTTCAACTCCTTCACCAGCGGACGTCAAAGGTCCGCTCGCCACTATACATATAATGGAAAATCGCAAGGATACACAACAAGGTGCCCACTGCTCGGTATAAACTTTATTTTTAGACATTCACATCATACATTCGCCACTCTCTCTGTCGATTTCTTTATCTCACACCACACACTAACTCCCTCTGCTCTCTGTGTGATTCCTCAAAACATCACTCTGCAATTCGACCACTTTTTCCAAGTCGCGCACACACACACACACTCACACACGGGGGTTATTAAGGGAATCAGGTGGATAAAACCATGAACAATAATGTATAATAAAAAGACAGCAATCGAACTGAGATATCCTTAGGAATTTTCTTGCCTATTAAGCTCCAAAGTATGTTTGGAAAAAAAAAACATGCAAAAATACTGTCATTCCAATGCCTTAAGCATGCAGTCATGAAGTTAATCTCCTGATAAACTAATCCGTGGTTTTCAGTTAAAATACAATACCTCTATATGAACATACGTAAGTAAATGAGTAGGTAGTAAAGTTAACAAATTAGAGAAAATTATTCCGCGACAGTTGAACGAAGAAACGCGCACACACACACACACAGCGATAGTTTGTTTGTAAACAAACGCAGCTACAATTAAATGCCATCGCCTCAGAGCACAGGTATATGTACATAGTGTCAGACATAATGTATGAAAGCCTGGGCTGCCAGACGGAGTATGAGGCATAAAGGTGAAAATACGAAAGAACATTGGCAAAGTAGACCAACGAACCACCCCCACATCAAAGTTTATCAGCGGCCGAAAAGAAGAGTGCAAAAAGGGTAGAGAATGGCCCTATATAACTGGGCTGTGGTGTGCTGTTGTGTGGAGGAGATAAAGAGAGAGAGAGCGTGAAGAAAACCTACCATCATTTGACCATACTAGTTTATGATTATTTTTTATGATTTTCCCACCCCTTCTTTCTTCACACTCTCTTCTGTTTCTCTCTCTCTCTTGCCGACGCTTGTCACCGTGAAAAACTCACGACACTTGAATAAATTGCGCGTCTAAAAATTCTTCTCTCCTCACCACACATATTTCTTTTTCACATGGCGGAAAATCTAAGGAGAAAAACCGTGAATGTAAAATATCTCATCTGGTCAATCAACTACCCAACACTTCAACAGACTCTTTAGTCTCTCTAAACTGTGAAAAAACCCCCACTGAAATGCTTCAATGTCTTTGTCATGCAACAATTTCTTGAACCCTCTTCAAAAGTTGAATTCAATTGCATTGAATCTTATAAAGGTGAAGAGAACATTTTCCTATGATCGCTATTTTCTCATCAATTGCCAATTAATTATGCATATGTTAGTGAAAATTCATATAACTCGCCAATCGAGAAGATCACAGTGAACGTGAGGAAGTTCAATATTGGACTATTTACAAGATTTTTTTTCTTCTCCTGAAACATTTCTCATTGAGTATTTTTGCTGAATGAATCAGTGAAGTTTCTCACCAATCATTGGAATTGTAAGAAATTTTTTCGTAATTTTTCTCTTCTTATAAATTCTATACGAGTAAAATTTACTTACACAAAACGCAAGACGAATGATGCAGAGGTAGATTGCATGTATTACAATCCAAATCAAAAAAATTAAAAAACAACCTTCCATAAAATAACACATTGATAAACTAATAATTAAAATATAATCTATTGAATTAAATAAAATCAATAAAATGCTTGTACAATTGCAAAATTAGATTTAAATACAATATAATTAAAAGAATAGCAACATAATAATGAGCACTGACTTTATCATTAAGTTCTATATAGATTTTAATATGATGAAAACACTATTTTTTAGCAAACTTTTTTAGAATGCAAAATAATTGACTCAGCAGAGAGATGAAAGATGTTTTCACTCGTGATTTTGAGAATCTACAGTATTAAGTTCAATATGCTTCACTACGAGAGTATATATAAAATATAAGTAAATAAAAAATATGATAAAAAATGCTAATATAAACATTTCCTTGAAGTTGAAATATTCAACAATAAATTCAATGAAACCACTAATTCTTATTATTAATTCGTCAATATTCATCTTTTAAGAGTTTATTAAACACTGAAAATGTCAATTGATTTAGAGAGAGTCTTTTATCCTTCGATTTTTGATTTAAAAAAAAACTATTTTAATTTGAAAATAAAATTTAGACTCAGCAAAGAGATAAAAGATGCTTTCACTCGTGATTTTAAAAATCTACAGAATTAAGTTTAATGTCTTTAACTATGGTAGCATATATAAGATATAAGTAAGGAAATTATGAGCAAAAATGCTAATATAAATATTTCTGTGCAGCTGAAATATTCAACAATAAATTTATTTACATTATTTAACAGTGAGTGCGTGTCACAATTCATCTTTTAAGATTTTATTAATCACTGAAAATGTCAATTGATTTAGAGAAAGACTTTTCTTCTTCAATTTTTTTTGTTTTAAATGCAAAAGCACTATTTTTCAGCAAACTTCTTGACAGTTTGAAAATAAAATTGACTCAGCAAAGAGATGAAAGATGTATTCAAACGTGATTTTGAAAATCTACTGCATTAGTTTCTAACGCTGCACCACGATAGCATAGATAAAATACATGTAAGGTAAGTATGAGGACAAGTGCAATTATAAATATTTCTTTGCAGTTGAAATATTCAACAATAAATTTATTAACATCATTTAATTTGGAGTGTGTGTCACAATTCATCTTTTGAGATTTTATTAATCACTGAAAGTGTCAATTGATTTAGAGAAAGACTTTTCTGCTTGCACTTCAACGCTAAGAATTGCACATATTAATAAATTAATCTCTTCGCAACCGTGCCAACTTGCGTCCGCGATGGTCTCTGACGAACTGATTCGAATGTAGAAAACTCTGTTCACTACTTCTCGCGGAATCCCATCGGCGTTCTACCAATATGAGAACGGAAGGAAACACAGGTACATGAAAATTAACTCGTGAGCCCGAAAGAGAGTGATTGCGTAGATGTGACAACTGATGGAGTAAGATAGAGATATCATCAGGAGAGGATTTGCTGCGCGCAACGCAGGAAATCATTTTTCTATCCAATATACACCCAGGAAAGATTTCACATGCACCACCGATTGGTGCACGAATGAGATTTCACGTACTTGCATATAGTGTTATATGATAAATTTCCTGCAAATTTATACAAATACAGCGACGCCCATAGAAATAAAGCACATTTCATCCTTTAGAATATTGGTTTGATCCTAAATCTAACAGTTGAAATAAATATTTATTGTAATTGCATGATAATTCCAATCAAATGTGTCTTTTTGATCACCGATAGGAGAAGAAATGCATAATTTACAAAAGTAGGGACTAAAATTGTCCTTGCCAATCATGTTGAAAATTGAACATAATTGAAGAAAACAAAAATTTACTGCTGAGTTGCAAGAACTAAATTATTTTCGTCATATTTTACATTTGTCAAAGGATTTTTTATTACGTTAAAGAGTCTTAATTGAGTCTCAAAGGTTTTTTTAGTTACCAAATTATGGTCAATATTCACGATATAGATTCTTAAAGATTCACGTGTTTTTTTATTGGTAGCAAATTGCATATTTTTCTGACATAGTTTTCAGATTTCTTTGTTATATTTCAAAGCTCATTCAAAGAAATCAATTCAATTTAAACAATCTTATGTACTTCCCTTATTTTCTATTAAATAATAATGTATGTGCTATAATTATTTCAGTTTTAATTGGTTAATTTGCACTTCTGATTACTAATTGAGTTACTTCCTTTCGATTTTAATAATTTCTAGCCCAAAATTGTATTCAAAAACACAGTCAAATTCTTTTTTCATTCACACCTTCCAATCACACTGAATTCAGCGAATGATCACTCGAAGACTCATCATTCAAAACAATGCCAGTCTTATGTCACAATAAAAGAATATTTTAACATTTGTGCAACTTATACAGTTTTGACAATATTTCTAGATATTGAGAGAGTCACAAATGCCACCAAAGAAACTGTCAGCGTACATAAAATAAATATTGAGCCACTTCAGAAGAGATAAACCCGATTACATATCTCCAAAAGTCATAACTATGGGACATCATCCTAATCATTGGCAGTCCAATTATATTGCGAAGAGGTATGGGGGAGAAAAGCCATACAAGTTGCCGCACAATCCGCGAAATATTGCGGTTGTTGTGGCAGAAATGACAATGTGATACTCACTTGGTTTTTGTTAAGCTTGGATCAGACGTCTTCCTCCGATTTGTTCGATTCCGCTTGTGTGATAATCTCTCTTTGTAGGATTCCGATCGATTCACCGACACTGGAGCCGATTTGGACTTGGAACTGTGCAAAAAAAGAGAGCACAAAAATACATATAAAATTTATTCACAAAACATACACTCGGAAACATTGCGTATTTCAGCAAAAGAAACTCTCTCTCTCTCTCTTTACTTCTTAGTCTTGAAAATTCAACCTTTTTCGTCGTAAACTTTTCCGCCCGTGTTCCAGGAATTTGTTGGCAAACCTCCTTGTCAATGCCCACTGAACATAATCACTGCCAAGGAGTGTATTGACACCCGGAACAGCCTCAAGATTGTGTGCAAAAGGAATGTTCATTGTCACATATGGGAATTATTTCACTCTGTGATCACCAATGAATCTCTCCTTCCTTTCGTTTCCCAATTCAATTAAAATTTTTACACGACATCACTTTAAAGACCAGCAACAAAAAGCCTATCGCGCACAACTTCACGTCTGCACAGTTCAGGGTCTCCTCTCGCTACTGATAATAAATATACAGACAATATTACCAATATGTGAGAGCAGCACACAGAGCCATCGGAGGCATTTTTGATTAGATAGCGCGCGACGTTGGTGACTTAATAGAATGCAAAAAAAAAATCCTCAAATCACTTGTGCGCATTTTTTCCTTTTTACCCCACACATAAATTCAAGAGATTTTATCAAATGTTTACATTTTCCCTCATTCAGCGTGTGCAAGAAAAATTGTTAAAAATACTCCCAACACGATTTTTCACACATTTAGCAATCCGCATTTCACTGACACTTCTAATTGCACGCTTCCTAAGCATAGGCGCAGTGAAAAAGATTTGTCAATGCAAACTTCTGGGTTGAATAAGATTTTTAGCTTTAACTTGCCGCTAAATCATGGCTCTGCATAGCAATTGATTGTTGAATATTCTAATCAAACTAAGAGGAGCTTCTTTTCAACCCTTAACCACAATTCACCCATTAATATATGCAATAATATACAAAGTAATTGTCCTTCTTACCTTTCATGACTGGGTCGATCGGCAACAGGCGCGCCAGATTCACCGGCTTCCGCGACAGAGGTCGACTGGAAATCCACTGAAGCTCCGCCAGAGGCACTGCCAGCACTTCCATGGTGATAATGCGAACTGCCACTGCTGTCCGGACGTCTGTCAGATGGCTGACGAGTCACTGATGTGGTCAATGGGCGATCTGCAAAGCACAAGAAAAAGGAAACCAATCAATTTTACTATCCAAGAAAAAGGAACTAGAATCTCATGGTTTATATGTCAGGAATAGAGTGTATTTTTTAGCCTAAATATCTCCTTTTATTACCACATAGGACATTGAGTGCAGAGCCAGAGGACTGCCTTCGAGTCTTTCTCTTCTTTCCCTTGCTCTTCTTGCTCTTGCTCGCACTCTCGCTCAACTTAGCCGCCACGCGCCACGTTAAGGAATTCTTCGGGGAGACAGCACTCTTCAAAGTCACGGCCACTTCCTGTCCATCACTGCCGCTCACGCAAGATTTGTCTTCTTGGCCGCCAGTGACATCACCACCGGATTTACTCGCTGACACAACCGTCGAATCAGACAGAGACTTTCGTCTGATGCGCTCAAACTCTTCGCTGCTCAATCGCTTATTGGTATTGGCCAGAGTGTATCTCAGCAAGGTGTTGAGATTGAGATTCGAGTGCGCCCTGGTGGATTTCTTGGACGGCTGCACAGCACCTTTAGCCTTTGAGGGATCGAGAATGGGTGGAGCGGAGATTTTTCGTCCCACATCAGCTGAAATCTTCCCCTTGGAGGAGCTCTTAGTGATCCTGTTGTTCTTGTACTTGGGATCCGTCAGCAGAATCTTCTCTTTGCTCTGACACTCCTCCGACAGCAACCGATCATCATCAATACTTTTACTCTTGCCATCGAGCTTCTCCTGCTGTTCATGCTCATCCGGCAGCGAAGGATACTCCGAACTGACACTCTTGCTGGTCTTTCGGCCACGAATGCGATTCTTGAAGCTCGCCACGCGAGAGCGATCCGATTCCACACTCGCACTCGATCCAGGACGAAACCACATATTTTTTTCCCTTCACAGCTCGCAATTGACACTGTCAAACTTTTAAGTCACTGTGGCATAAATTAATACAACCATTTCACATATCCAACATTTGCTCATCACACACTATCAGGGGAACAAAAAATTGCTGATAAAGCGATTATTTTATGCCTTGTGTATTTAATCATTTTACACCCGATTCTTTATCGCCCACACGTTCATTAATCTCTATGCAAACAATCGCTTTGTAGCGCAGTTTTGGTGTCACATCGATTTTATACTTAAAGCAAACGTGGAAGTATCAATCGAACTCACGGTGATGCTTTGTAATTGAGTAAATGCATGAGAAAAATAACCCCTTATTTTCTGCCTGAAAATACTAACTTAATTGAACGAGAAGATGTGTGAATATTTATAAAATGCATCATCAGATTCTATCTTAATTATCATGATGATTTATGTCATATTAAATACATGATGGTTACAGTCATTTATAAGCCATAATGCTCAATTCACTGCTTCTTAAGCTTGAAAATCTCTCATGAGATGTGCTAAAGAGAAGGACAAAATCATATTTCTTGAATAAATATCAAATATTTGCTATAATAGCATCAGCCAGCTTAAATGATGATTGATAAAAAAAAATGTATATATATTTCTGAATATCTCCACACATTCCTCTTTTGCCGTCATCACTCCAAAGTGAAAGAGTTTTGATGAGCACCCAGGAAAAAAACCCCACACAAAAAAGTATCTGCAAATATTTGCCTCGAATAAAATTCCTCGACACTCATTATTTTTGCCTTCAAGAACGTGACATTCACTAACATCTTCTCACAAATCGTACATTTCTTCATTGGTATATCTCCTTCTTTTTCCCCACATAAACTCTGTTCTTCTGCCACAAAGTTTTTAGTATTTGCAGTAGTGGTAAGATTTTTTCTAAAACACCTTCACCACATTTTCCTCTGACTCTTTCCTCTATTGACTTTGTGAAGAATGCGAAAAAATGTGTGAGAGAGAGAGAGAGATGTTAAATTCTATTTCTGCCATCAATGCTTTTCACTTGCAGCATCAAAAATGCTCAAAATATGACCATTTCGATGTGACAAAAGTACTAATAACTTTAGATTTATGCAATTTCCATCCTCATTGAGCGATATTTATGCTTATTTACATCCCAAAACTGCGCGTCACAATCAGCAATTCAGCACCATTGAAACACCAGCAATAATCCTTTGAAACACTGATATCACTTATCACTGCACATTATTCACTGATTAATCACAAGCTCGTCGTAAAAAAAACTGAAGATTTTGATCGCCTCTCTTGTAGCGGAAAATACGGAAAAACTCGCAGTCACGACAAAGTTTCTTCTCTCAGCGACACCCAGAAACTAAAAACTTGCGCTTGTACTTGACTCTTCGCCAATATCATGAGACTATATACCAACTAAACAGGGTATTCCCTAGTGAAAATATTTTCTCACTGCTTTTCTCTGGCGCACAAAATTGGACATTGAGCCAGGAAAAAAAAGTGACATGCAAAGTAACCTTTATGGGTGTTGTGAATGAGAATAAAAATAGAATTTCCACAGATTTTTGCTTTCATTAACCTCAAGTGTGTGTTCTTGAAAATTCTCCGTAATACCAACAAGACATCCCACATTCATCAACGAGCGCACAGAAAATTCCTTTATCACCCTGTGTGTGCCCCGCACATTGTATTTGTATATTTGTTGCTCGCTGAGGAATATATTAATGTTTAATGGTTTGGTGTTCTGGGCACACAAACACAAGACACACGCGGGGGCAAGAAAAAGTCAAAACAGAGTGTGCCACAGCATCGGTGGCACCACATTTCCTTAATTCAATATTCAATGTATACGAAATAGAGAGTAATTTTGAATTTGCAGAAAATCAGCTGTTAATACAATCTCCTAGTTTGACTCTTCTTATTTGCAATATTTGACATATCGTCAACTTCTTATCGTGTTCTATATTTCATTTAGAAATTCTATTGATTAAAGTGCAATAAAAGATCGTCAGTGAAGCACTCCTTTTTATTCACAACATTATCACGATTATTGCTGTGACATATAAAAAGTGAATGATAATAGGAATTTGACTTGTCATACTTCTTTTTATGGAATTTTCACAGTTCTACAAAAGCAATATAAAAATTTACATTGTGATTTTCATTGAAGGATAACCTCAAACTTTTATATTAAATATCATTTTGTTTTATATTTAAATATATGAATTTAAATTTTCAAATAGCAAAATAATTTTTTAATCAAAAAACTTTTTATAGGAAATCTCCCCATTCCATAGTAAATAGATTCTCAATGAAATATTTTGTGGATAAGTAAGAAATCTTTCTGTTGACAATGCAAAAATGTCTTAGTGTGATTTATAATCCACTCTGTGTGGAGTTGACATGCTCAAATACCAAGTATTGTAGCAAGTGTTTACCTCCGCCAAAAATTGGTAACTTCAGCAATTTCTTGATGCTCGGATTTCGCCGAACAGTGGTTGTTGGATTGATGGCAAGTGACATTGTTGACTCACTGTTGACGTCCACTTTGTCTTTCAATCCCATTGCAAGTGCATTGGATGAGAGCTTTCGCAGTGCTTTCGCTCGCTGTCACAACTTGAAACTCTTGCACTTGATCCACTTCGAATTCACTTGTTTTCTGCACACAGTTTTCTTCACCTGATTATCAACTTCTATTCCTTGATCCTCTCATCACTGACCTCATTAAATTCCCCTCTCCACCACACATCAGAATAACACGAAGAATGAGAAGCAATTTAGATGATAGGGAGAAAATATACATTTTTAATATAAACACACAGCATCAAAATTAATTTGTCGACTGAGAGATTTATGCATTTCATGTAGAAACCTTCGCACCAATGATGAAACAGACAACTTTCTGTGTGCGCCAAAAGGAAGACACACACTGACTATAATGTCTCTCCGAGAGGAAGGAACAGAAAAAAATACAGCACCACTGATACTCTGGGTTAAGCTTTATCAACCTTGAAATGATAATTCTCTTACAGCAAAAATTCATTATTTAAATTGAAGTGTGAGACAAAAAGGCGCAAAATACTTTTCAAAACATTCACGATAAGACGAAGTTCAAAGTTCACCGTCAATTTTCTACAGATTTTGAATGCAATATTATGCCAGAATTAGAGGAAAAATATTCCAAATAGCGACAAGGGTGCAATATATAATACACACATGATATTACATACGCATAGCTATACATCCTGCCTAGGAATTTTCAGCAAAAAGGAATAAAATATGACAAACAACTGTTGGTGCAGCCAGAATCACTTCACGTGCCGAAGGTAAACATCAAACTAACACTAACTATAATTCGAGGGTGTAAACTAATCTCATTCGTCTGCGTCAGCAAAACTCCCGACAAAGATCCACACATTTTCCATGTGAGACTTGGCAATATGAGCCCTCAAATAGGAAGAAGGCGCAGCAAAAAGAAGCAGATGGCATGAGCCACACTCAGCATCACAGGGATTTCAAAGACAACATGCATCATTTCCATACTTTCATCACTTTCTTTCTCCCAAAACCTACAATTAACACACGCAATCATCCAATACAATATTCCACAAATGCATCACACAAAAGTGTGCTTCAATTCAATATTGTACATTTCCCACAAATACCGCTGATAGACGACATCCGCGTGAATTTACATCCATTTCACTTTCTCAATATGTTCTCTTATCTCACTCTAACACACTGTTTTTGGCTTCTCCTCTAAATATAGTTCAAGGAAAAATCGAAGAACTTGTAGTAGATTGACTTAGAACATACATAAAACTTCATTCCATCTGCACATCTTTCATTTCTCTCCTCCCTTTCATTCACACACAATTCTATTTGTGTCGAATATTGGGAAGATATACAAGACTAATGTCTAATGCACACAACATTATTTCTTTCATTCCCCATTGAAACACATCCCAATGTTTATTAATTCTAATTATATGGGATAAACACAAACACATGTTCTCTTCCGATCTTTTTTCAGTTGTCCACCACTCGACATTCAATCGCTGGCATTTCCTTGCCTTTTCCGAGGAAATTCTTCAAGAAAAATCATCAGCAAAAAGTGTAAAGG